AAGCCCCCAGCTCAGCTGGGAGTCTGCTTCTCCCTCTCCCTCTGCTCCTCCCCCCTGTTCATTCTCTCTCTCAAATAAATAAATAAAATCTTTAAAAATAAATAAATAAAGAGTGACCAGGGTACCGGGAACACAGATACAGAGGTCAGTGGGTGTCTACAGCAATAACCCAGAAGGTGAGAGCTTCACTCCATGGGATCCAAAGCCACACTCAAAGCTTTCGATCTTACACAGCAGCCAAGAGCCGCCACCGAGCGTTAGCAGAGCCTGAAGAAAGCATCTTACCGGGAAGGTGCAAAGGCACAGAACCCCACCTCCGAGGAAATGAGGACTTTGGGCAAAGCTATAATTGACAGTCCTCCTAACTCTGGGAAACGAACTAGGGGTGGTTGAAGGGGAGGAGGGCGGGGGTGGGGGTGACTGGGTGGTGGGCACTGAGGTGGGCACTTGACGGGATGAGCACTGGGTGTTATTCTGTATGTTGGCAAATTGAACACCAATAAAAAATAAATTTATTTAAAAAAAAAAGAATGGCCAAAGTAAAAAAAAAAAATTGGCAGTCCCAGAGACCAGAGACCTAAAACCCAAGAAAAAAGAATTTTTTTTTAAAGGAAAGAATATTTAGGTAACAATACAAAGAGAGGAAGAGAACGAGGAAAGGATCAAGGGAGGGAGAAAGAGAAAGCTTTCAGAATTTACAGACATCACAGCAGAAACAAAAGTCTTAATAAAAAGATTTTAGACACAAGGTTGAGGAAACATTCTAAACAGTAGTAAAGAAAAGAAAATATGTGACAGAAAAGATAAGGAAATTAGAAAACCAGTCCAACATGTCCAACATCTAAATAACAAACTATGTAGAAAAAAAGAACAGAGGAACAGAATTCATCAAGGGATAACAATTCAAGAAAATCTCCCCAAACTCAAGGATGTGAGTTTCTAGAGGGAAAGGACCCAGCAAGAGCCCAGCAAAACCGGACGGAAACACACACAGCGGATCACGTCACCGTGAAACTCAGAACCTACTAGCCGGCTCCCCACGGGGAAAAACTAAGTGGGAGATGCTGAGGCCCATACCCCCCGCAAAATTCCTGCCTCCAGGCTTCACCCCAGAACTGAGAGTATGAGCTCAGTGAGGGGAACACGGAGAGCATCCATCTCTCCGTCCGGGACCTTGAACTTCTCTGAACCAACCCGAAATAAAGTCATGTCATAATAGGGGCACCTGGGTGACTCCGTCGGTTACTCGTCTGCCTTCGGGTCAGGTCATGATCCTGGGGTTCTGAGATCAGCCCCCATGTCGGGCCCCCTGCTCAGCGGGGAGTCTGCTTCTCCCCCCATGCCGTGCGATCTCTCTCTCTTTCTCTCTTGCGTTCTTTAAATAAATTTAAAAAAATAAATTTAAATAAATAAACCAGGCTATCTCAACTGGAATGATTGAGCAAAGGAGGCCTTGACATCTACTTTCCTGACTGTTCTCAGTTCCTTGATGTCTGAATATGCCCCGAGGGTCCGTGAGCCCCCGGAGAGGAGGACCCGATGGCTGTGGAACTGATGCTGACCATGAAGCCAGCTATGGCTGGGGTTGCGTGGAAGACAGACTCGGGAGATCCGGACACCCGTGAGACTCATGCAGAGGCCAAGTCCATCATGAAGGGCTACAGGAAATAAATTTTAGTCGCCTATGCCAGCAGGGCCATCCACACCCAGTTAGAGAGGGGATGATGGGACCACGGGCCCAATTCCCCTCATCCCCATGATGATGCTCTTGCCTCCAGGCACCCAGATGCCACCAAGGAGAGGGACCAGGATGAGGCTTGGAAGATGGGGGAACCTGACTCACTGAGCATTTTCCCTCCAAGACTGTGCATTACCTAGGAGGACCGTCGAAAGGTCACGTTCTCTTAAGTTTAAATCTTTTTTTTAAATATTTTATTTATTTATTCATGAGACACACATAGAGAGAGACAGAGACATAAGCAGAGGGAGAAGCAGGCTCCCTGCGGGGACCCCAATGTAAGACTCAATCCCAGGACCCCGGGATCACGCCCTGGGCTGAAGGCAGATGCTCAACCACTGAGCCACCCAGGAGTCCCAAGTTTAAATCTGATAGGACTAAATACTTGTCCTCTACTAACCATTATGGTGGCTCGTGACAAAGACCCAATTATTGATAGGCAACACAAAGGGAAAACGTCTTCTCCTAGCTGTCGGTTACAGCTATGGGCTGAACGGATTTCGGGAAGCTTTTAAAGTGAAGAAAAAAATTCATACCGGGATCCCTGGGTGGCGCAGCGGTTTGGCGCCTGCCATTGGCCCAGGGCGCGATCCTGGAGACCTGGGATTGAATCCCACATCAGGCTCCCAGTGCGTGGAGCCTGCTTCTCCCTCTGCCTATGTCTCTGCCTCTCTCTCTCTCTCTCTCTCTCTCTCTCTGACTATCATAAATAAATAAAAATTTAAAAAATTTAAAAAAAAATTCATACCTTCGCGGGGTGGGGGTGTGGGGAGAAAGGCCAGGCTCCGTCTCTCCTCTCCCCGTTCATACAAGGAAAATATCTAAGTCTATGAACAAAGCTGCATTCACTGAAGCCTGAGGGTTCAGATGGACTTGCCAGTGGATGTATTTGCCGACAGGAAGCATAGCTTAGTGTCTGGCTCCTAGGTTCAAAGAAAAACAACAGCTTGCGTACGAAGAAAGCCTAAGGCCAAAGCCACTGTCTTCCAGCACACCTGCAATCCTATTGCCACTCTACCGCGCACAGAGGTCCCATGCTGGAGCTGCCAGCCTAGCAAAATGTAAAATAATCTTAGCGACATCCTTACTTTTTGCTGAAATGGAAATCCCTGGCTTTCACCGAGAGAAAAGTATTTTTGATGCTTCACACCTTCTCAGGTGCTTTGCGTTCCGCTCAGGATTCCTTTAAAAGGATTTAGCCAATGTCTTTAACAAATACATATCATACATAACTGTACATTATGCAGGTACATAAATATGCCCCCAATTATTTGAAGTATCATGCACACACGATATGGCATTTATATGTGCATCACTGATTATTTCCTTGATACACATTCCAGAAAGATCCCAGGGCCCAAACACTTTTAGGATGCTACACCCATTGGGGCACCTGGCTGGCTTACTCTGAAGAGCGTGCCGCCCTTGATCTCGGGATTGTGGGATCGAGCCCCACGTTGTGTGTAGGGATTGCCTTAAAAAAATAAAATCTCTACTAAAAAGAAATGGTACACAATTGCTCCAAGAAGAGAGAGATTTCACAGAGAGAAGGGTCAGCAAAAAAAAAAAAAAAAGGAGTTTCCAGTCTCGAGAAGCAGGGGCATGTGGCTGAGGAGCTGGAGGCTGCACACACAGCCCCTCCCTAGGCAGACACAGCTTCAGGGAAACACACATTCACACCTAGTCCACATCGACGTTTGCATAAGTAAAAATAAGAAAGCCTTGATTCTCCATCTCTACGCGGCCCCTTCCTCTCTTGGTCCTGAGATGGCTCACGGTCACCCTGAACCCCAGGCAGCGTGAAGGGTTAGAAGGGGAGGGGACCAGGCCCACGCCCCTCTGCTCACAGACCACCAGAGGAACCTGCGCGGGGCCAGTTGGAAACCCCAGAAATGTGCTGGCGATCCTTGGCAGCCAAATGTCAAGAAGTCTATCACTGTGGAACAAAGGGAGAATAACTATCTGGGACACCTGAAGGCCTGTCACGAGAACAGAAGCGAGCATGAACTTGCCATGACACGGAGCCAAGCAAGTGCTTCCTTGTCATCAGCTCCTGGGTAGGAGGCGCTGTCCGGGCTCACGCTTACAAATCACGTACCCGTCACTGGGTACAAATCCCCGAGTGTACAAGAACTGTTTTTTTTTGTTTGTTTTTTGTTTTTTCGGTTTTTTTTTTTTTCTGCTCCATTTCATGGAACAATGTTTGAAACAAAACAAAAATGCCCTCCTTCCCCTGAAAGCACTTTGACCACAGCTTCCCGTGGTCCCACCTTCCCACCTCACTGACCGAACCGGAACAGCCACCCCCACCCCCGCCCCAGAAAAAGAGGCACTTGTGACAATGCCACGCATCACAAAATCACAGCGAATTTATTCATTTTCAAGGTACGGAAGGAAGGCAGGAGATCTTTGTTCTTCTAGGCTGCCGACGTTGGCTTTTCAAACTGTTCCAAGTACAGAACACCAAGAACATAATTAGATATCACATCTCTCAGAAACCTAGTGCTATTGGTCAGCTTTAAAAAATATTTGCGACGGAAACCAATTACATATTTATACACATAAATATATCATGTAAAAATTACCTATCATTCTTTGGGAAAACGGTATTGATATAGTTATTAATACTAAACTTTACTATAATTTAAGATTCTATAGGATAAATCTGATAAGGCCTGGAATGTAATTATCGGCTGGGGGGGGCGGGGGGCGGGTTGGACATCTAATCTGCAAACTTCACCTATCTGAGACCTGGAAGGAATTGCAGATAATCACCTGGTTCAGCAAACTCCTTAGGACAGATAAAGAATCATCATCACTTTTTAGATCAAGTTACATGGACTGGTGATGTTAAGTGACTCACCCAAGGCTGCATAGTTACCAAATTTCCTCTTTCCTCAGCTTTTTTTTCCCCCCTAGGCACACAGATCTCAACGCTCATTTCATGTGTAAGCATGAGACATTCAAGTGCAAGATAATTTTCTAAGAAATCCCATTCCAGGATCCACTATGCTTATTGAGTAAGATAAATTAAATCTGTGTCATGAAAATACACAACAAGCACTGCATTTAGCTTCTTGGCTTCAATTTTAATTAGTGAAGCAGAGCCCCCACACTGAGGAGAAACATGGTGCAAATATCAATATAACTATATTGCTCGATTGGCTTAGTTTAATGCATCCAGTTCAGTCCAAAACACTCATCATATCCAAAGCCGTGTTTTTCAGAGGAAAGGAAAGAAACATAAGCAAACGGAACAAAATTCAAAGAAGGTTAGTATATTTTTGTAGGTAGAGCATCTCAGGTTGGCAGTTTCTACATTTGACTCTGAAGTGCTAACCAAGAGGACCGTCTCAGGGGTCGGAGGGCACAAGTCATATGTCTTCTTTGTAAGTGCCACCTACTCGAAGATGGCTCTGTGGGCGTGTCCCCAGGCAGCCAGGACACAGGGACCTTTTCTTCCGGAGCACGTGGCTCTAGGATCAGGGCTGAGCCCCCAGGGATGGAGTGTGATCATATTGGGAAGAAGGAAACTGTGTCACATGGAGATCTCATTAGGGACCCAGGTGTAGGCACGGGAGAGGCTGACGGGGCTCCCGCTGACTTGGAACATCTTCCTGGTCACTTCCGTGTACGTCCTGGTACATCCTTTCTGGATGAGACAAAACTTGGAGGGATTTCGTAGGAATCCCCAGGAAAATGTTACAGTGGAAGGAAGCAATCGCTGATCCCTGGCTGGAATGCGACAGTCTCAGCCTTGATGGGTCCCTTGGTCAGAAGGGAGGACGGTCATTCAAGTAAAATTGAGATGCCCGGTCTCCAATCTTCTAGTGCACACCATGTGTACGCAACAGCCATCTGGGAAGACCGTGTAACCCGTCGTGGGCCTGGATGTATCCACCAACATCAAATCCAGCAAAATGTATAATTACGTTTTGGAGTAATTACAATTAATTGCAATTATTTTGGATTATGCTTAAAACCATCTGGAGGACTTCCTCTCTGGAGGGGCTGGCATCCACCACGAGGCAACCAGGGTTCTCCATCCGCTGATAGGACATTTCTACCCTGGGGACAGGCAAAATGAAAAGAGTTGGCTTAGTTTGTAACACGGAACCTCCGTGCAGATCTGTCTTCCTACCGTAATGTATGCAGCTTGCAGGCTGGGCCCCCCCTGTTTATCCACAGGAGAGATTCAATACATTTTATTTAAGAAATCATAAATTCATAATAAGGCTGAAGAGCTAGCAATTAGTGTTACGTAGGACCTAGCAAGCATCAGCACGCTGCACGGTTCTTCCGGTTTCCTACTGAGGGTAACCCAGGAAAGGCAGTGACATCATCCCCATTTTGCAGAGAAAGCAGCAGAGGCTCATAGAAGTTAACTAGGGGCACCTCGGGGGCTCAGAGGTTGAGCAACTGTCTTGGGCTCAGGTCGTGGTCCCGGGGTCCTGGGATCGAATCCCGCATGGGGCTCCCCACAGGGAGCCTGCTTCTCCCTCTGCCTGTGTCTCTGCCTCTCTCCCTGCGCATCTCTCATGAATAAATAACAATATTTAAAAAAAATTTTTTAATTAACTAATTGGACAACTGGGAAATTTCTCCACGGTCTGGATTTGTTTTTGTTTTTTGTTTTTTTTTTATGATAGTCATACAGAGAGAGAGAGAGGCAGAGAAACAGGCAGAGGGAGAAGCAGGCTCCATGCACCGGGAGCCCGACGTGGGATTCGATCCCGGGTCTCCAGGATCGCGCCCTGGGCCAAAGGCAGGCACCAAACTGCTGCGCCACCCAGGGATCCCCACGGTCTGGATTTGGACAAGCCGGACGTTCTCAGCGTAGACACTGGTTTCACGGTTGAGTCTTCTAAAGTGTCACCAGGTTCCCACCTCATCCTCTGCCTGTGCCACGGCCCTAGGGAAGCGGGACGGCCTGGGGCTCCGATGGACGGACGCTGTTTACCGCTCACTAGCTGGGGGAGCTCAGCCAACGTCTCCCCCCCCCCGCCTCTGTTTTCTCATCTGCAAAACGAGGTCTGCAGTCATGCCTTCCTGGGGAGTGCGTCACGAGGTCTAATTGAATTAATCCAAGCAAATTGTCTGACATGGTTTCTCTGCACACAGCTGAGTTGTTATTTAATTATTTATCTGAGGACCGTGTTAGGAGAGCACTGCTATCATTGTTTATTTATATAAACTGCTCTGCTCTGGCTCTTCGAACCAGCCCTACAGAACCCATTCACCCTCAGCCACAAAGCACTGAGGCGGTTCACACCCTCCTGCTGGCGTTTCCTAGATTTCTGACCAAAACAGAAGCACCGCCTTCCAAATCGGAACGATAGGGATTGTCGCCCCAGTTTTACTAGGTGGTAGCTGTGCTAATCATCTAGACAAATCTAAACTTAACCCTTGGAGCCTCCGTTTTGTCAACGGGACAATGTGGCTGACGTGGCCCCCGCAAGGATCCGAGAGCATCAGGACCCAAATGCCTGACACAGAGGAAGCATCTGTAAGGAGAAGTCACGTGGAGACCATCGGCACCCAGGGCCACCGCACGATGACCCAGGACCCGAAAGCCAGACACGCGTCCTGTATTTACCCGGGTTCACACTGTTCCCAGCACAGCTGGACTAGAAGGAAGATCTGACGCCCGGTCCCATAGCCCGTGGTAACACTATCATCACAACGAGCCTAACGTGGAGGATAGTGTCCCTTGGGTTTGAGAACAATGTCATCTTCTCCACATCCCTAAAGCCAGTGCTGATCCCGGCTCCCCACCATGACCCGGAACCCCTGGCGTTCGCATGGGGACACCTACTTCTGACGGAAGATGCTGTTGGCCTCCAGTTCAGTTTCTTCTCTGGTCCTCTCCATGCCCCGGCCCTGAATCCTACGCATCCTCTCCTCGGGACTCACTGTGAGCAGCAGAACCAGGTCGGGTTTGAGCAGGTCCCTGGGCCACTGGTATATAGAATGATGGGCCGGGGGCAGGTGCTGGAGCCCCCCCGTCACCTCGGTGGCGATGGCGTAGGTGGCCGTGCTGTGCCAGTACCTGAGAAGGACAAGAGGAGTGAGTTCTCCATGCCCAGAGGCCAAAGACAGGGCGCGCCTGAAAATGAGCTGGACAGAAAGTTGAACCCAGGGATGGCTCTGCTCAAGTTTTCTTAGCATTGCGTATGTTAAATAAATAAAACTAAATTTTTTTTTTAATTTGAGAGAGAGCAGAGGAAGGAGCAGAGGCGGAGGGGGAAGCAGACTCCCCGATGAGCAGGGGCCCAAAGCAGGACTCCATCCCAGGACCCCAGGATCATGAGCTGAGCCGAAGGCAGACACTTAACCCACTGAGCCCCCCAGAAGCCCTTAAATCTTATTTTCAAAGTATTTATAAAATATAAAAAATAAGCCAAAGTCAACAACCACAAGAGGAATGGAGTGGGGTCATCATGGTTACTCAGCTGAAACCGCATTTGTCGCCAGGTGACACTGTTGGGTCTCTCTGGCCTGGCCTACGCTGCCTTCTGTGAAAGGGAGGGCGACCGGGACGAGAGGTGCATCCGGCAGTCCACATGCATTTAATCTTGTCTCTTGGCAAATAAAACTCTGCAGGCCCATTCACTTCCAGGTTGTTTTAAAACGCAACTTGCGGATGAAATCCACGTTCTGGGGACCCTGTCCTGCCCAGTGCCCGGCCACCTCACTGTGCCTGGCATCTGTAGGGGGAGAGATGAACCCAAATACGACCTCCACTTCTCCATGAAATCCTCCCTGAGTGGAGCAGGGCCCCCTTGACTGGCTTGTTTTAAATGTCTGAGGGGGAAGAACGGAAAATCACAACCAGAGAAGAAAACCTATTTCAAAATGCCCCACAGCTTTCCACTGCGCGCTGGAAACGTCCAGCCTAACGAAGACCCAGCACAGCACGCACGGTGCGTGCCCCGGCATGCTGCGTCAGGCCAGCCTCTCCTCACACCCTCTCCTCAAGCCGGAGTGGGCTGCTCGGTGAGCAGAACTCCTACTCAGCCTGCAGAGCCCTGCTCAAAAAGCCCCCAAGCAGAGCTCACTGTTCCCTCCTCTGGGCTGTCAACGCCCTTCACACTCGACTCTACTGAAGCGCTTCTCGTGGTAAGGAAAAGACTCTGGTCTGGAAGTTAGACCTCTCTTGACTCCTCCATTAGAAGTTTCCTTTCTTAGTCACACCTGCATTGCAAAAGCTGAAACCAGCGTCTGGCACGCAGTCAGTACACACAGAGTACACGTCCTCTGGGTGTGCAGATGCCAGTGTATTCATTGGCATGGCTTACTGTAATCTCGTCCTGTTCCCGTCCTATTCCAATCTTCAGGGACTAAATGCAAAACTTCAAATACGTATCAAAGGACTATTGTCTACAAGTGATGTTTGTGAAATGGTTTGAACATCCCAATGTGGAGAAGTACCTATGGCCTCCTCCTTGTGTGTATGTTTAATGCACTGCCCTCAGGGTTTTAAAATCCTAAATTCTGGGGGCACCTGGGTGGCTCTGTGAGTTAAGCTCTGACTCTCGGGGGGATGCTGAGTGGCTCAGTGGTTGAGCACCTGCCTCTGGTTCAGGGCCTGATCCTGGGGTCCCAGGATCGAGTCCCACGTCGGGCTCCCTGCAAGGAGCCTGCTTCTCCCTCTGCCTGTGTCTCTGCCTCTCTCTCTTTCTCTCTCTCTCTTTCTCTCTCGGTCTCTCATGAATAAATAAATAAAATCTTAAAAATAAACTAAAGATGAAAAACAAATAAAATCCTAAATTCTCAATCATTTTACATTTGCACTACTTCTCACACTGAAAAGGACATTTTGGAGTCTATCGAATAAATTCACAGTGTCGTCTGAGCTGCACACTGCTTTATCCCCCGCCGCCTACTTGCTCTGTGGACCCAGGTAACTCATTTAAGCCGCTAGAGCCTCAATTTCCTCCTCCCAAAAATGAGAAGGATCCAATCTTTGTTTTCCTCCCATAGTGGCTGCAAAAATAGACAAGTGCTTTAAAAATTGTGTCATGCCGTCATTATAAGACAATACCTATGCTCACTGGACACTAAAGCTGCATTTTCAACTGACAACGATACAGACAATACCAAAAAGGACCAAAAAAATTAATTTGGGAGGGGATCAAGTCTGCTAGCATCCGCCCTTCAAAGCCCCCCGTCCGCCTCCAGAAGCGTGCTCTGCAAACCCCCGGCCTCCGGAGCGGCCAGCTCCCAGAGCCCCGCCTGGGAGCGCTCCTCTGTACCACGGCTCTGATTCCCCACCTAGGAACACGTGCCTTCACCTCCTCTGTGAGATGCATCTTGTCTCCCAAGCTGAATACAATCCATCCAGGGTCCAGGGGATCTTCTTCTTGGTTGCCAATTTTCACCACAATTTGCTCTGCATTTTGCACAGGTCCCAGGCTCGCTGAATTAAATACTCAGCTATGAATACAGAGGCTGACATCACCTTCATTTTAAAAGGCTTCTTTTTGCAGAGAAACCATCAGCAAGAATAGATTTTTAAAGGTAATGAGGGTGATTAAGTTGCCAGCCTTAACCATAGGCACCATCAAAAACTACTCTGTCTCCCTCATTTGTTCAGCTAGGTGATGGTGCAGTCTAAAACGGATTTCACTAAAGCCTTTACACATGAACAAAACCCACCCAGACAACAAATAACTGCTTTTTTCTCTCACTTGACGAGGTGATACAGTATCTCTTTAAGGCACCAAATTGCAGACCACTCGCCACGCCACTGGCAGACGCGAAGGAAAAGCAAGGGAAGAATGAGCGCCCTGTTTTCTGTAGCTGGAGCTCTCTCACGGACAACGCGGCGGCTCGCTTCAAATAATCACACACCCTCTGGCCATCAACTGCAGACTCTCCGCTCTGTAGGATTTTCCATTCCCGCCATCCCAGGGAAGCCCCATCGGTTCAAATCAAATGCAACTTGCCGACACGTACACGGCTTCTATAAGAATGCTTTATATCTTAATAGCAATTTGCTTGCGCAAAGCATTTCCACCTGTATCAACCCATTGGCGATGCATCACCAGTTCTAGACGCAGGCCAGGGAGGGGTAAGGAATATCTCCATTTAGCAGCCTGGGAAGCTGGGAGCAGAGAGGAGAGGTATCTGTCTACACGCAGAAGCCAGAGCAGCTTCAGGACTCGGCGGGGGGGAACGTCTGAAGAAATCACCTGCCTCCGGAAGCCACCCCGTATCAGGACAAATTTGGTCTTTCTCCTCGAAAGAGGATGCTGTATGAAAAAAAAAAAAAAGACCTCAAATACAGTAGATCTGGACACGTTAATAATAATAGGGCAAAAACGCCCCATGGGCAAAGAATCCCACAAAGGGATGCAATCTCTTACCTTCTCTAGGATCGCCTATAGCTTGCAACCTTGAAAGAACACTCTTGCCACCCCCAGAGTTTACCCTGCCTCCTGGCATCGTGGCGTGGAGGACAGCGCCAGCCCTCTAGCTTATTCTCAGTTTTCATCTTGCCTGGTACCTTCGCCTCCTCCCGCTTAATACCCTACACATGCTCAGAACCGCCTTCTCCTAGACCACTTCAGAGATACAGAGAAAGGTGTTTCAAGAAAGGGGTAGACGTTTCCAGATACGGCCCACTAGCTGGCAACTGATCAACTTACCCCCCAGGCACAAGTGGAAACCTGGAATAAAGGCTGGCGATGCTAGGACAGGAGTCAAAGAAAACCCTCAAACACTGCTGAGGGGGGAGGACAGCAGGAGCGGTGACAACCACTTCAGAAAACTTTTCGCGAGACCTGCTAAAGCCGAACACACGAGAAGCCCACATCCCTACAGTTCACTCCTGGGAACCTGTGCACCAGAACTGCACATATACCTGCAACAAAGTCACGTAAAAAATGTTCATGGGGCACCTGGGTGGCTCGGTCGGTTAAGCGTCTGACTCTTGATTTCAGCTCAGGTCATGACCTCAGGGTCGCGAGATCGAGCCCAGAGTCGGGCTCTGCGCTCCGCATGGAGTCTGCTTGAGAGTCTCTCCCTCCCCGCCACCCTCAGCCCACACTCTCTCTCTCTATTAAAAATATATATATATTAAATATATATATAAAATATAAATATTAAAAAATAAATAAAAAATAAAAAATATATATACGTATGTTCATAGCGGCAAGGCGAGTGTCACGCAGCATGAAGTCAGCTGCAAACAGCACCAGCGCAGAGCTGCGCGCACAGACAGGTGCAGCACAGACCCAGCAAATCCCCGGTGACGGAGGGGAGGGCCGTGGCTACCACGGGGTGGGGGGGGGGGCAGGGAAGAACAGGCCGTGGTGCGGAAGGAGAATGACGTGGCTTTGTGAGGTGTGGCGACGCTCCAATGTGGGTGAAGGCTCTCCTTGGGTGGGTTCACTGCTTGGAATTCCTTGAGGTTTACATTTAGGATTCGTGCTTTTTCCTGAATACCTGTCATACTTCCATACAACTGCTTATCTTTCCAGAATAAGTAAAATTGCAGGCAGAACAATACACATTCCCTGAGTTAAGCAACAATTGAATTGCAATCGATGACCTTTTGTACTTTATCAGTTGCGTTTCGCTCTCCTCAGCCCTCTGTTAGATTCGTTCCATATCCCTTCACCCCTCCATACTCTACAGGTTGTATTATTTTGCAGGTCTTCTACTGGACATCTGTCTGCAACTGGATTTTTTTTTCAGTCAAACTTAGGGCTTTGTAATCCATGCACACCGATGCACTGTACCGGTCCATGCTGCTGAACGGCGCTCCACTTCACAAATAGGCTAGTATTTACGCGCCCTTTCTTCTACTGACGGGCCTTCGGTTTTTCAAATTGTTCAATATTATGAACGCAGTTGAAAGAAACTCTTGTGTTTCCTCAGGAGGGAGAAACAGTGTGCATTTTGCTGCACTTTCACAAATCACTCTCCAGCCCTCGTGCCAGGGCCCACCCCGCACCGGCACCTTGTAGGGCTTTTCTCCATCCCCACAGTCTTCAGCTCCAGGTCTAAGGACCTTCCCATTGGTCCCCACCAGCCTGATGAGAGCAAAATGGGATCTCATCGCGACGGTGATTTCCATATCATCGAGTTGGGTGGCTTTAAGCCGAGGCTGACTTGCTTGCCGTACACTTCAACCATTCTTGTGGTGTCTTATTAAAAATCTAAATCAGGGCGCCCCTGGGTGGCTCAGCTGCTGAGTGTCTGCCTCCGGCTCAGGTCATGACCCCGGGGTCCTGGGATCGAGTCCCACATCGGGCTCCCCACAGACAGCCTGCTTCTCCCTCTGCCTGTGTCTCTGCCTCTCTCTCTGGGTCTCTCACGAATAAATGGAATCTTTTAAAAAATGTAAATCAGGGATCCCTGGGTGGCGCAGCGGTTTGGCGCCTGCCTTTGGCCCAGGGCGCGATCCTGGAGACCCGGGATCGAATCCCACGTCGGGCTCCCGGTGCATGGAGCCTGCTTCTCCCTCTGCCTGTGTCTCTGCCTCTCTCTCTTTCTCTCTCTGTGACTATCATAAATAAATAAAATTTAAAAAAAATTTAAAAAAATAATAAAAAATGTAAATCAGTTTGCGTCACTCCATTATCTGAAACTTTCTAATGACTCCCCCTGCACTTAGATTAAAATCCACCCTATCCTGGCCTATGGGTCCCACTGTTCTAGCTCCTGCCTCTCTCCATTCATTCTTCCAGAAAGCACCCCCTCACCCACCATGTGCTCATCACACTGGCCTCTTCCTCGCCCTTGAATACACTACCTTCTCTCTGCCTGTAGGCTTTCCCCTCGCTGACCCATCTCTCCCTAATGCTGTTATTCCACAGCTTTCATTTCCATCTCTTTGGGGGCATTCGGAGCTCAGATCAACGTTACTTCCATATAGAGACCTTCCCCAGCCGTATCCACCTTGACTTATCCTCTTCAGAGTATTTATCGTTCTCTGATATTATCATAGGTCTTGATAATGCCCCTGCAATAGTATCTTTGCTGGATGAAAGCAGAGCATCATCGTCTAGCTCATTTACCGCTGAATCCCCTAAATTGAGAGTCTTTGGCACACAGTAGATGCCCAATAAATGTTTTATAAATAAGCTGATGAACAAATGGACCTGAAAGCATTGATTTATAAAGCAGAAGCTTCTACTTCTGTCAATACCCTCAATATTCTATTTCCAGCTCAGTCAAGTTTCTTAACCCCTGCAAGACCTAACGCTTCTCATCAGTAAATCAGGGAGAACATTTAGTACCCACCTCACCACGTAATCGCTCCAGATACGGTATAATAAAGGTATGCTCTTAGCAAAATGCAAGCCTGTGGTGTAGATGATTAATCAAACATAGACGCTATTCCTATTCCTATCATGGTACAGTTTGACTCAGTAGATACAGGGGTATATGTGCATATATAGGTACACACACACTTACATGTTAGGAAGAAAATGCCAAGTTCACAGCATCTTTATACCTACCTGTCTACAATCACGGGAGATTTGGTAGATTCTTTAGCTATTTCAGAAGCTACGATATAATTGCCCAAAGAGTAAAAAGCTCTTCTAATAATAGTTGGTTCATCATCAAAGATCTTCCTCCACTGGCTAATGCAAGCGGGCGGCGACTTTAAGAGGGCAGCCTTGAGGGAGTCTGAAACGGACTGGGTCACAGTGGTTTTACCTGCAGGACAGACACAAACATAGCACTTCGTCATCGCAGCCACCCAGTCCACAGCCCCCCTCTGGCTTCCTCCCCACCCACCCCGGGGTGCTCTGGGCCCGGCACTGGGTGTGGGGAGGGGCAGATGGATGGCAGGCCTTTGGGAACCTGGGTTTCCTCTCTGTGGTATCACAACACTTGAAGGAAAACTGAAACGGCACCCCTGTCTACAAATTAATGCTAAGTGCAGCCCGGGTGGCTCAGATCACTGCGTTCAGCCCGGGGCGTGATCCTGGAGACCCGGGATCGAGTCCCACGTCGGGCTCCCTGCATGGAGCCTGCTTCTCCCTCTGCCTGTGTCTCTGCCTCTCTCTGTGTGTCTCTCATGAATAAATAAATACTTTTAAATTTAAAAAAAAATAAAAATTAAAAAAAATTAATGCTAAACTCTGGCATAGACCTCCAGGCCCTGGGATAACCTCCACCTGGTTCCTCAAAACACCGAGCACCTGCTGTGGAGGGAGCCACAACTCGCGCTGAGCCACCTGTGACGTCAGCCGCAGGCTCCACCTTGTCCTCGTCGGTATCCTGCTGCCCTGGGAGCCCTGCTTCTCTTGCTTCTGTGTTTTGGGCTACGTGTGAGTGGTCCATTGTGTTTTGACATCTGTGTGGCAGCTGCAAGGCTTTTTCCATCCACCTCCTAGTTCTTCCTAATTTTGCTGCAAAAGGGTCCTCTGCATGGCCTGTGGTTCCCAAATGCCCCAGGCTGGCTCAAGTCCCCACACTTTGGCCCACGCTCTTCCTTCTGCCTTCCTCACCTGACCAGCTCTGATCTGTACTGAAAACGCAGTCCAGGTGTCAGCCCTCCAGAGCCATCTGCGGCCCACACCGAGCCTGCATTAAGTGCCTTCTCGTGGTCACCAGAGCACCTGAGGCACAGCCTCTCCACCTCTCCCTGCCACACACCCCCCCCAGGTCCTACTCATCTTTACATGCCAGGCCTGCCTAGCTGCGTGCCTGGCGCACGCCCGAGGCCTACACGACGCTCGTGAATTGAACAACTCTGTGTCAAGTTTTGCTTAAGACCAGTCTATTCCCGGGGATCCCTGGGTGGCGCAGCGGTTTGGCGCCTGCCTTTGGCCCAGGGCGCGATCCTGGAGACCCGGGATCGAGTCCCACGTCGGGCTCCCGGTGCATGGAGCCTGCTTCTCTCTGCCTGTGTCTCTGCTTCTCTCTCTCTGTGACTATCATAAATAAATAAATAAAAAGGAAACCAAGTTGGATTCCTTAAAAAAAAAAAAAAAAACCAGTCTATTCCCACAAGGGATCAACCGACCACATTGCCTGTAACTAAAAGGTAATATTACCAGTGGCATCCAGTCCTTCGATGACAATGACCGGGAACTTCCCCTTCTGGACCTGCTCCGGGCACTGGTCAACCAGGTCGAGCACTGCTTGAGCTTCAGGAATGAAGGGGACACACTGCAAAACAATGTGTGGGCATCAGCAGTGAAGCAACGGGGGGCTTTTGCAACGTCTAACTGCAAAGGACAAGATTGCCCGACGCTCAGACGGCTCGAGGTGTGTCTGATGCCACGCGGAGCTCATAGCACTTTGAACCTGGGGAGAACTGAATTTTTTTATTTTTTATTTTATTTTTATTTTTATTTTTTTACTGAAGAGCTGTGGCTCCCAAAGGCGGTAGCTGCTGAGATCACTCGGCGGGCAGCCCTCCCCGACCCGCAGCCCCAGGGCAGGAAGGGCAGGCAAGACCCAGGTCCAGGTCCCCGGGGCAGGCGGCACCGTCCCCTCCTAACCGCTAGGGGGCGCAGAGGAGAGCGGCGCGCGGCGGCCCCAGGTAGCGGCGCAGGTGTGCGCGGCCCCAGCGCTCTCACCTCCGCGGTCCCGCCGCCGCCGCCCTCCCCTGCCTCTCTGCCGCAGCGAGGCCCACGCGGGACTCCATGCGTGCATGCATCCGAGGGCCAGCATGGCCAGCCCCATGGCAACTCGCTCAGCATTAACCCCCATCCGCGGACCAGGGAAACTGAGGCAAGGCGGGATCTGAGGACCTGAAAGTGACACCCGGCGTTGGGATTTAAACCCAGGCGGTCGGTCCTGCCCTCCCATCCCCTTGGTGGGACTATCCCCAAAGCCTGCGAAATACAGTAGGTTGCACCGCGCGGCCTCGGGCGGCCGACCTGGGCGCCCCCCGCCCACCCCGGGCTGCGCCGGGAGAGCATCTTCGCTCTCCTCCCCTGGGCACCTGCCGTGCGCCATTGTCGGCCTGTCCTACACGCGGCAGCGGCGGGTGTCCCAGACGGAAGGGAAAACCGTGGGTTGGATGCGCGCGCTGGGCCGCAGCCCCAGGTGGGGGACGAGTTTCTTAAACCCCCAATTCATGCCCTTCTCTCCCCCGAACCACGCCCGGGCACCCCAGAGCAGTGTGGCTGCTTCCCAGGCACACGCCCCCCGCCAGGTGCCTTCGGAGCGGACGCCGCGCGCCGGGCGCTGGCACCTGAGCTCCCGCCTCCCGGAGGAGGGGCTCCCGGCGGGCAGGGGTGCAGGGGTGCAGGGGTGCAGGGGTGCAGGGGTCATCAGGTCCCCGGGCGCAGGGACGGCGCAGGCTCTTACCGCCTCCAAAACGGCGCGGGCGGCCCGGCGGTGCGGGAAGACGGCGGAGCCGGGCAGGTCGGGCAGCACCGGGTGCAGGGCGGGCTCGGGCACCGACACGACGCGCGCGCAGGGGCCCACCTGCCGCCACCCCTCGCCGCCGCGCGGCTCCCACAGGCGCTGCCACACCTGCCGGCGCGCGTCGCCCACCAACTCGCCGAGCCGCGGGCCCCCCGGGGCCTCGCCCAGCAGGGCGCAGAGCGCGCGCCGCGTGCCGGGGCCGGGGCCGGGGCCGGGGTCGAGCAGCAGGAAGCCGCGCTGCACGCCGTCCGCGCCGCCGCCGGGGCCGTAGCACAGCAGCGGGCGCAGCGGGCAGTCCCGCAGGGGGCCCCGGCGCAGCCCGAGCAGCAGCCGCTGGAGCAGCCGCGCCGCGCGCACCCGGGCCGCGCAGCCCCCGCCCGGCGCCAGCCCCGCGCACAGCAGGAAGCCGCGGCCGCCGGGGCCCAGGAGCGCGGCCGCGCGGGGCTCGGGGCGCAAGCCCGGGTCGGGGCCGCCCACCGCGAAGTGCGCCAGCGCGCAGCCCGGCAGCTCCAGCGCCAAGCGGCGCGGCGGCTCCATGGCCCGAGCCGAGGCGCCGGAGCGGGCGGGGCGGGCGGGGCGCGCGGGGAGCCGAGGCCTTAAGCGCCCGGGCCCGCCCCCGCCCCCGCCCCCGCCGACCCCGCCCCCGCCCCCGCCGCCGCCGCCCGGGAAACGAAAGCTAAGCGACCGGCGGGAGGGGGCGCCTCCCCGGCCTCTGCGCGCTTCGGGGGCCGCGGCCCCAGCGGCGGGGGCGGGAGGGGGCAGATGGATGGCCCCAGGCCCTGCACGGACCGAGCCCCCCTCTGGCTTCCTCCCCACCCACCCCGGGGTGCTCTGGGCCCCTGGTTGGGTGCGGGGAGGGGCAGATGGATGGCCCCAGGCCCTGCACGGACCGAGCCCCCCTCTGGCTTCCTCCCCACCCACCCCGGGGTGCTCTGGGCCCCGGGCTGGGTGCGGGGAGGGGCAGATGGATGGCCCCAGGCCTTGCACGGACCGAGCCCCCCCTCTGGCTTCCTCCCCACCCACCCCAGGGTGCTCTGGGCCCCACGCTGGGTGCGGGGAGGGGCAGATGGATGGCCCCAGGCCTTGCACAAACCAAGCCCTCCTCTGGCTTTCTCCACCCCCACCCACCCGGTCCTCTGGGCCGGGCGCTGGGTGCGGGGAGGGGGCAGATGGCCCTGTTGGGTACGGCCCGGGTGTGCGCGCGTATGTGCACGAGCATCTCTCTCTCTCTCTCTCTCTCTCTCTCTCTCTCTCTCTCTCTCTCTCTCTCTCTCGGAAACAGCACGCACCCCAGCTCTGCCCGCCTCTGGTCTCTCTGCCCAACCCCAGCTCTTCAGTGCAGTGTGGAGGCCTGACCCGGGCCTGGCCCCCTCCAGGACCTCAGGCCTCCTCCGCCGGACCTGCCGTCTCTCTCGGCTTCAGTGGGACCCAAGCCCCAGTGGCTGCCTGGACTGCCTGAACAGGGAGCGCCACTCCCTCTTCTTCCAATTACTCCCGTCCCGTTTGCTGACTCGCAAACCAGGCCCGATCTGCACAGGAGCCAAACTGAAGTCCTGCCTTGGGGTCCGGTTTGCGGGTGGTAGCCTGCTGGCCCAGCCCGAAGCCCGCAGCAGCTGCAGCAGCGCCGCCTTGGCACAGCGGCTTTTACACAATCGTGCGGATGTCTGGTTTTCCACTCACGAGACAGTATCTTGGGAAAAATGATTGTCAAACAGACTTAAAAATCCTGCGGGGGAAAACTCATTTAGGAAAGAGATAAAGATGAAAACCATTAGGTGAAGTGAGGGCAAATAAGCTGTGATTTAAGCAATTTGGATTTAACACGGGTGTACATTTAATTCTGGAAGGAATATAACTTTTGGACTGACATGAACCCTTGTAGATGCGTGGTCGAAGTATGGGCTGATAGACCAGGAGCGATTCAGAGATGAAGATGGTTTTAGCTCTTTGAGAACAGGATCATTCTTACTCTCTGCGAGCAATCTGACTTTGGGGTATTGGGCATGCAGAGATGTCTTCACATCTGGATGTCACACAATAAATGATGAGTTTGGAAAACAAGAATTGACAAGATAGATCCAGGAAGGAGAGCCAATTCCATAATCTAACCCCTAGGAAAGAAGTGAATGAAGGGCCCCTAAGTAGACACATTTGGTAAGTAACTGCTTTATTAGGGAACAGGTAACCCTCTCCCTCTACAACGTAAGCCTTCTATTTATCTTTTATAAAGTTCCTTTGGATGCATTTGTGGGCTTCCAGTTTGAAAGATATTCTATTTAATTGCAGAGTTGGTTTTCTCCCTAAGTAATAGAGCTTACGAGCCTTCCTGTGAGGAGAGAGTCGACACAGCAGGTGCGGTGCTCACTCCAGGGGAGCCTGGAGCCCTGGTTGATCCTGGCCAAACCCTAGAAACATGCTCCTCAAAAGGTTCATTATATGAATCATTGATGCTTCTGTGTCTACACCGGGAGCGATGCCACATCGGCTTGTCAGCACTGTTTTGCACAAACGTTGAGATTGGTGATGGGCACCTCATTCGCAGTTGGGTTTCTGAGATTAGGTGACCATGGCCGGCCACAGCAGGATGCGCCTACGTATCTAGCCCTCCATGTAACCCCAGCCCCTGGGATTCGAGCAGGCTTCCCTGACCAGCTGGTTCACATGTGTCCTTGTAGCGTGCTGCTAGAGGGAAAACTCCTCCAGAGCAACCCAAGATAGCCAAGGGCTCAGAAGCCTGTGTGGACCTCTCCAGACTCTGTTTGACTCTTTCCCTTCTTCCTGTTTTCACTTTGTATCCCTTCCCTGGAATAAGCCTAACAGTGAATGTAACCTGTTACTGAGTCATACAAGTCCTTTTAGCCAATAAACACACACACACACACACACACACACAGGACAATTAAGTAAAAATTGCAAGACATAGTATTCTTATTTTGAAGTAGTTTAAGAATCCATTTCGTTTCTCTAAATATACACACTTATACACAAAAGTACAGCTCTGCAAGTCAGTAAAACTATATTTATTAAATCAACTAAATTTCAACTAGTAAATGAGTGGACAAGAAAGCCAAAGGCTTAAAGATGTTTGCAATGTATGTAAGCAAGAAAGTGCACGATACACAATGAAGTTCTAAAAATCTGTAATAAAAATGGAGAAAGTCCAATATGAAAATGGGCAAGGGATATGAACAGGCATTTTGCAAAAGAGAAGGTCCAAATGGCTAATACGCATATAAGAAGGTGCTTCACATCACCAGTCGTCAGAGAACTGGAAATTAAAAGCACAAAGAGATACCACTACCTGCCCATTGGGTGGCCAAAGTAAACCAGACAAAACACAAATCTTACCGTGAAAATACCAAATGGGATTATGGGAACAGCTAGAACTCTTAAAGTAATTCTGGTGAGGGCATAAACAGGCTCAAATACCCTGGAAAACTCTTTGGAGGTTTGCACTCAAGAGGAACACATATACACCATATGGACCAGTGGTTCCATTCCTGGGTATATATACCCCAAGTAAATGCATACGTGTATGTTGTCCAAAAGACACGTAAAAGAAAATTCATGGTATAGCATGGAATAGCAAGGTATTCCAAATGCCCAACATAATAAAATAATTCAGTTTCTTGTAATATATTCAAACAATGGAATCAGTAGGTACCAGCTATGAAAATGAACAATCTACTGGTACACAGCAAAGTGGCTAAGTCTGCAAACTCAACACTGAGTGAGAGAAGCCTAACAGAGAGAGGTCATGCTGTGATAACCTAGAGTATGGTTTTTAGAAAACAGGGCGGGGGGCGGGGGGACGCCTGGGTGGCTCAGTGGTTGAGTGTCTGTCTTCAGCTCAGGGAATGATCCTGGGGTCCTGGGATCGAGTCCCACATCGGGTTCCCCACAGGGAGCCTGCTTCTCCCTCTGCCTGTGTCCCTGCCTCTCTCTCTCTCTCTCTGTCTCTCATGGATAAATAAATAAAATCTTTATTTAAAGAAAAGACAGGGTTATCTTTGGAGCAGAAGTAGGGTTCAGGCCTCGGCCCCAATCTGCTAATGGGATGCAGCCCCTGTTGGGACCTTCCTACAGGAAATGGTCCACATGTGGGAGCATGGGGTACCCTAAGGATGTGCAGGTGCTTTGAGGAAGTCTCTGGCTAAAGAAAAATGATGATGACATGCAGCTGTTTTCCAGTTGCATTTAGATGCATTTAGAGACGGTGTGTCCAGTGTAGAAAGCCTAAAGGGGGCTGCCTCCTGGCCCCTCCAGCCAACGTCCGCCTTGAGCGGATGGAAGAAGAAGTCCCTCCCTGGCCTGTGCAAGCCATGACTTTGAACCAGAGGGTCCATCACTCCTGAGCCTTAGTTACTGTTAATGGAAGAAGACAAGTTGGAAGGACTAGGGCATATGTTCGAGGACTTGTGTGAGTTCTTTCCTGGAAAAGACTCCGACTTCTTTATTTAGATGTTATTCATATTTATTAATATTTTTATCAGAAAAAAAAATAGGAGGCTCTCCACAAGCAGTTGTTGAAGCAAAGGAGAAGGAAGGAAAGAAAGAATGCCTCAATCAATGAATGAGTGAGTGAATGAACGCGTGAATGAATAAAAGAGACTGACCCGGTTAGAACCGACTTGGGAAAAAATTAATAAAATAACGTGCTGTCGATTATCAATCATTGAGCAGCGATGCAGCTGTTTAAATCCCAGTTCAAATACTCACTCCCCAACTGTAAAATAAGTTAGTGAATGCAAAGTGCAGGGCAGGGCCTGGTGTGCAATGCTGTGGGTGTGCTAGAAATTGCTCATTTATTACGCAAGCAGTACTCTGGGCGTATGTCATTTAATCCTTAAAATGCCCCGCGTGAGTATGATATTAATACCCATGATCCCCAGATGGGTTAACAAGGTGGGTAAAGTAAAAATTTACCCAAAATTAGACACTCTTTGCTGAAGTAGGATTCACACCTTAAAAATGTTTGGCTTGATGAGCCTCCGTGGCTACCTCCGTGCCACACCCGATAGCCGATGTGAACCGTAAACGGATTTGGTTTTCGTTTCTCCATACACATGTGACCCAGCAAAAAAGGAAAAAGAAATCTGTCTTGGTTGAGTCAGACCGTGGTGATGTTTCAAAATGCTTTTGGCTATTTCCGGCGCTTGGATGACAGCCATCAGGGAGTAATTGGAAATCATTCATTACACAGAGGCTCGCTGTTTTGCTGAATTTACTTTCAGTTTCCTTTCTAAGTGAAATGAAAGTCATCTTTGTTTCTGTTCAGGACGTCACACGACTAGAAGAACAATAGCTAACCCTCAGGAAACCCAATCGTCCAGACGCTGTCCCCGTTAATGTGATGCACACACGTTACAATTTTCAGTCTTCCCGAAGCAAGTCCCGTGAGATACCTGGACCGACAGATGAGGCAGTGAAGACCCAGAGGAAGCAAGGAAAGTTACCAAAGTCACACAGTTATATGCGATGAGCCGGGTTCAGGGTTCCAGAAGCTTCCCCTTTAGGGCTGGTCCAACTTTCCACAGGTCTCAGGAAAACCTAACACCACCTGCCCAAACACGCCTCTGACTGAAGACAGCTAAGGGGGGGGGGGGAAGCTTCCGCACAAAAGCTGACAGCGCTTTCTAAGAAACTGTACAAATAAGGAAGAAGCCACTGTCGCTCTCGACAACCAAGAACCATCTTAGAAAAGCATCTGATTTTCCTGTGGTCTATTTTTTTTAAATTTTATTTATTTATTCATGAGAGACACAGAGAGAGAAGCAGAGACACAGGCAGGGGGAGAAGCAGGCTCCACGCAGGGAGTCCGATGTGGGACTCGATCCCAGGACCCCGGGGTCACACCCTAGGCTGAAGGCAGTTGCTTAGCCGCTGAGCGACCCAGGAGCCCCTTCCTGTGGTCTTTTAAAAATAAAGCAGAGGTGAAGAAGAAGAGGTGAGAATGACCCCCGGACCGGCCAAAGCCTGCGTGCCGCCCCATCCCCGCATCCAGCGCTTACCTCCCGCCACCATGCACAAGAGAAAGGCTGAAGGGGAGGCTAAAGGAGATAAAGCCAAGGTGAAGGATGAGCCACAGAGAAGATCTGCAAGGTTATCTGCTAAACCTGCTCCTCTAAAGCCAGACCCCAAACCTAAAAAGGCCCCTGCAAAGAAGGGAGAGAAGGTACCCAAAGGGAAAAACGGGAAAGCTGATGCTGGCAAGGATGGAAACAACCCTGCAGAAAACGGAGATGCCCAAACGGACCAGGCACAGAAACCTGAAGGTGCTGGAGATGCCAAGTGAAGTGTGTGCATTTTTGAAAACGGTGTACTTCTGGTGACTGTAACAGTTTGGAATACTATTTTTTATCAAGTTTTATAAAAATGCAGGATTTTGTTTTACTTTTTTTTGTAAGCTATGTTGTTAGCACACGGAACACTTCATTGTTGTTTTGGGGGGAGGGCATATGTCACTAATAGAATATCTCTGAAGCTAGATTGATAACAAGAGGGAAAAACACCTTCCCCTTCTAGTTTTGAGAAACTTCCTCTTGGCTAACAGGAGGAAGGATTCCTTGATGTTGACACACATGAGCCACCTGGGTGGTGTGGAAAAACTAAAATTCATTTTTTTTTATGTCCTCTTCTCCCTCTCTGCCTTCAACATAGACTTGACTCCTTTAAGCCCAGAGACCTGTTGGGACCTGACCCCATGAAATGGTTCCCAGTATGTCAGGCGATCTGGACTTTACAGTGTCACCACTGAGATGGCGTCCCTCAAAAGAGTTCCTTTTTTTAGCTTGTGGATCTTCAGATTGATAATTCTGCCATTTTCATTTCATTTCCTGAAAGTCAGGGTCGGCTTGTGAAAAGTCGTTAAACAACATGCTAAATATGAACGGTCAACCCTCCACTCTAAACTTGCCCTGTTCAGAGCATCACATGAAGACTTCATTGGGTTTTATAGTGGCTTTCTGATTTTCATAGTCCATTGAAGAAGGGAGTTTGAAAGTTGTGGTATACTGTTAGCGATCGTCCGCCCGTGTCCTGCATGAAATACCATGATTGTTTATGAAAAGTATCTTTAATAAAGCTGGATACAGTCTGGCTTGGAAAAAAAATAAATAAAAATAAAAATAAAATAGAAATGACTCTCCTGGCTGACTCAGTTGGAGGAGCATGCAACTTTTGGTCTCAAGGTCCTGAGTTCGAGCCTCATGCTGGGGATGGAGACTCTTTAAAAGTAAATAAATAAACTATACATAAATAGATATGTGGGAAAATATAAATGTCTAGATTCTATAAAAATGCATAAGAGGGGCGCCTGGGTGGCTCAGCTGTTGAACGTCTCCCTTCGGCTCAGGGCGTGATCCCGGGGTCCTGGGATCAAGTCCCACATCGGGCTTCTCCCTCTGTCTGTGTCTCTGCCTCTCTCTGTATGTCTCTAATGAATAAACAAAATCTTAAAAAAAAAAAAAAAACACCACAAAGATGCCTAAGGAAAGACAGAGTAAGGATAACTGTCACTTTGAGCCTGTGCGTTCTGACTGTGGTCTGGAGTGGGTCCTGTCCTCCGCCCGCACAGGTCAATCATATCTTTCATTCTTTGGCTTTCCTAACAAACTCTCAGGGTGGCCCCGACAGCAGGCCGGGCGCCCGGTCAGAGGCTCCGCAGGCTGTGTCATGCGTGAGTAATGCAGCCAAGGAGGCCACTATCTCTCCCTGCTGCAGCTCTCTGCTACGTGGAGATAGAGCCGCAGAGCAAGGTCTTGATCTGTATCCAGGTGGGAGGCCACCGTTGACCCAGAAGATAAGGGAAAAGTGCAGCGGAGAGACACAGATGCTGGCCCTGATCCCGAGCCTTCGGGCTTGGCCCTGTTCCAACTTTCATTTTTCATGAACAGGAAAATCGAAACTTGAGCTCAGCCAACAGGCAGTCAGAGGTGTGTGCATCCTGCCCGTGCGATAGGCCACCCCAGGACATATAAACGGAGTCTCCAGGCTGCAGGGCTGCCTCAGAGCATCTGGCCACCATGTGGATGCTCGTGCCCATCGCTTTTGCTGGAAAGCTGCTGAGCGCTTTCCGGAAGCCGCTGAGCTCTCTATGGAGCAGCCTGGTCCCCTGGTTCTTCTGGCTCAGGGCAGTGCTCTGGCTGGCAGGGGGCAAGAGCCTGCAGCCTCGAGCCCGGGCGCACCTGCCGGAGAGCAGAGCGGGGGCGAAGGAGGGCCTGGACCAGCCCACCATCCCCACCAGCGTCAACTACCACTTCACCCGCCAGTGCAACTATAAGTGTGGCTTCTGCTTCCACACGGCCAAGACGTCCTTTGTGCTGCCCCTGGCTGAGGCCAAGCGAGGGCTGCGGCTGCTGCAGGAAGCCGGTGAGTCCCCCGTCCCAGGAGGGAATCAGGGCACAGCCACTGGCTGGGCACATGCGCAGGCGGGAGAGCTCCTGCAGAACCTGGGAGGCGTCCCGTCCCATCCCGTCCTGCGAGGCAAGAGTAGGATGAGCCTGGGGTGCACGCCTATGGGAACCAGACTCAACTGGTGCGGCCGGTAAGGGATGCGAGCCCATCCCTCCCGTAGCCTCCGAGTCAGCAGAGGTCTGTGCACCTGCCAGGCCCCCAGAGTGCCCAGCATTTGCCAAGAGGCAGGCTGGGAAAGTTGCCACTCTCTGAGTTTATCCAAAACACGGATGGATTGAGGCTTTCCAGAAATGGTTAATGAGGAAAGGTGAAACCAAAGACAAAGTCTTTGACTTAAGAACTAACAGTGTGTGAAGGGCGCCCGGGTGGCTCAGTCAGTTGTGTCTGGCTCTTGGTTTTGGCTCAGCTCATGATGTTGGGGACTCGATCCCTGAACTCCAGGATTAGGCCCTGAGCTGAAAGCAGAGCTTAACTGCTGAACCATCCCCTGGATCTGACTTATTTTGTTCTCCATCACATTTGCTCCATCATCCACAGCTGTTCATCCAAATACAGACCCGCCTCGCTGGGCTCCCCAGCTCAGTGGGCTCACCTGCATTGCTGTGATCCCTGTAATTGTCTCAGCGTCCCCACTGGGACAGGAAGCTCCTCCATCCTGGTGACTTAAGTGCCCTGTGCTACAGGCACATCTCCACCAGCGCCTGCACAAATCAAGCCTATAGTCATGCCGTCCTCTCTTTCTGGAATGCCCTCTCTCCTTCATTTGCAACCCTTGGTGCTTGTTACAAAGGTGCATTCTAGCACTTTTTAAAAAAATATCTTATTTATTTATTCATGAAAGACACACACAGAGCGAGGCAGAGACACAGGCAGAGGGAGAAGCAGGCTCCATGCAGGGAGCCCGATGCGGGACTCAATCCCAGGTCTCCAGGATCACGCCCTGAGCCGAAGGCAGGTGCTAAATCACTGAGCCACCCAGGGATCCCTAGCCCTTCTTAAGTTATACCGTGATGTTTCCCTCTGTTGTCTTATTTTTTAATACCTGGATCCCCAAAGAGTCTGAGTTCCGAGGTTGAACGTTAACATTTCCGTGTATCCCTGGGCCTGCCAGCATATCTAGGACATCATAGAGGGGTAATAAATGTACTTGGAGAGATGGTTTAATAGATGAAATAATGAAGGGAGGGAGGTCTGGTGCCATGGAAAGAACTTAAGACTCTTGACTCACAAGAGTCCCGCTCTAACACGGACGAGACTTGTCAAGACATTTAACCTTTCTGAGTAGCAGTGTTGCGATCATTAAAGTGTAGATAATCAAGATCCCTCGCGTGCCAATCTCAAAAAGTGGCTTCGTGGCACAAGTAGGTGAATGCTCAGGTGTTTTTAAATAGAGTCTAAGCTACTATAGCTATAATTAATACCTTTACATAATGATTCCTCAGTTCTAAGTAACTAAAGTCAAAGTTAATTAAAGCGATCAAGGTGTAACGTAGGTCGTAGGTCGTATGCCCCGCAAGGGAGATTGCTGGCTGACGGAGGAAAATCTATTTTGGTGATGATTGAACATGCAAATCTAAATGTAAATTACATTTGAAATGAAAATGTACTACTCTGGTGGAAGAGGCTTCTACAATATATTATTTACCTCTCCGGCTTTTACACAGAGATGACTGAATGGAATTTAGCCTCTGGGAGCGTCAGTTATTGATCTGTGATTGCTCCTTGGGTGTTAGCACCATCGTGAAGTAAGCCTTGCTCATCTAAGATCTTACCTACACACCTATAGGCAGCTTTTGTTCCTTTCGTCCCCTCTACATCTTCTCAAACTCATCAAGGGCCGCGGGCCTGTACTGTTTCGCTTCCTCTGGTTCATCTGACCCTATCTCACCACACCTTAGGGAATAATGATGTTTCCATTGGATGATGATCATCATCACACAAGCAGGCTCCCAGCATGTTGGATTTCTTTTTTTTTTTTTTTTTTTTTTTAGTTTTGACAGACAGGAAGCAGGATTTATTGGTGGGCATGAGTAGGGTTCAAGTGGTGCAAAGTTCTCATGAGTGCAGAGCCCTCCATTTGTCCAAGGGGCCACGATTAGGGATGTATTTGACCCCACAACCATCTGGGATGAGCCACTTTTCGGCCACCATATCTTAAACTTAGTAAAGCCCCACTTCTTGGAGATGTGGATCTTCTGATGGCCAGGGAACTTGAACTTGGCCCTGCGTAGGGCCTCAATCACATGCTCTTGTTCTGCAGCTTGGTACGGATGGACATGATGACTTGGCCAATGTGGACCCTGGCTACTGTGCCCTGGGGCTTCACCTCACAGACCTGTCTGCAGCCTAGATTGGAGATAGCATGATGTCAGACCTTGAAGTCGACCACAAAGGGCTGTCTCCAAGGTCCCTTAGGGCAACCCATACAATCAACAGGTGGATACACTACCAAGAGGGCTACTGTTTGCAGCCATGGCACACTGGGCCCCCATGGAGAGCATGTTGGATTTCAATAGCGAGATGATGGCACTGGTGAGTGTCCAGCTGTAGACACACCTGAGAGAGAAAGAGGGTGTTGAAGAGCCATGTGGCTTGGTCTGCCATAAGCCGGGCGGCTCCAGGTGAGCAGAGACGAGGGGCAAGCCCACTGACAAGGAGACAAGGATGGAAGGCCGTGCGGATTGGGCATCCATTCTAGCTCCATTGTTTCTTTCCTAGCCTTATGATCTTGAATAAATCTTTGAACCTCCCTGAGCTTCAATTCCTGCAACTAAAACCCAGGATGGTAATTCCTTCCTTGCTGGATTAGTTTCAGGATTCAGTGCTTGCCTTTGCCATGTTACCTTGAGTGGAGAGGCCAGATGCCCATCAAGGGAGAAAAACTGGGAAGGGTTTTGTAACTGGCTCTCACTGTTTCCTTGGGGGGAGCACCACTCGCCAGGGGGCAGGAAGGGACTGTGGATGTGACCCCCTCACTGTGGTTTTCACAGGGAGGAAGTGACAGGGAGGCAAAGTGGGCTTAGCGCATTTTAGTGGGAGCGAGCTCAGCGAGCTCTGGGCACAGGGGGGCCCCCGTTTCTCTAGACCTGGCCCTGGGAGGCGGAGGGCAGAGTGCAGTGGCCCAGAGGGAGCCTCCTAGATGAGGTGCTTGGGGTGTAGACTTCCTTGGTTGCTCAAGAAGAGGATCTGCCCCGCCTTCAGCTGGGACCTCGAAGCTGACTCAGGACAGCGTTTTAAAAGCCGTGCTACAGGGAGTTTGCACAAATTAAATCTCCAAGCACAGCGTTCATTACTTGGTAGGTACCAAGTAACACACCTACCATTTGTAGGTACCAAGTAATGTACCATCCATGGGTTGAATGGATGTTGACAAATAACATTCGTAGGGAAATTTGTGGCATGGTCTACTGTTTGGCCCCTGATCAGCTCCCCAGCCCTCTCTGCTGGTCTGGTTGGTGCTGCTAATTATTTCGTTTCTGTGACCACGTCTGTTTGCTGCTCTTACTGGCCTCCTGCTTCTTCCTTTGAGCTCCGATGCTCACACGTGCTTCCGTCTCTGTGGCCTGCCACCCCGTGTCCTTTCCTCGCCGTCTCTGAAGCGCAGTGGCTTCTGTCTCTACTCCGATCTGGAATAAGCTGTCCGTCTGGCGCTGTGGCTTCGCACCCTCAGGGCCCAGGGAAGCAGGCATTTCAAACTTCACTTAGCGGAGCAAGTTACTTCATGATGGAGGGTTCAATTCTGGAAATGCCTCACTCTGAGGGCTCCCCTGGCAGGGAGCACCTACTCCAGACTCGGTCAACTGAGTCAAAGTGAGCTGAATTAAAAATGAACTCCACTAAAAATTAATTAATTAAAAAAAATGAACTCCACTATGACAGGGTATATGTTCTAAACTTCAAGATACCCTGGACCTTCTAGCAGATGTCCCCGTTCCCTCCAACCTTCCCTCCGCTCCACTAAAATCTCAGCAACAGTGTTGAAAGGAGGGGCACAAACCCACAAACAAATCAACACCCAGTGATCGTAACTGATTGATGGCACTTGGACGTCTTCAGCATGTGTCTGCAGGGTGGCGGCTACAAGAGGTTGGTTCCCCAGGCGGCCCCGGGGAATGCAGGACGTTTCAGAGACGAGAACCTTCTTATCGTGCAGACGCACAGCTTTGATCAAGAAGTCGGGGGTGGAGGCAGGAGGGAGACAAGGGCTGAAGGCAAATCTGCTGCTGTCCCCACCACGGGGGAGCCCCTCCCTGAGCCCTGTGGGTGACAGGAGGCTTATTTTCAGAAGGATCTGGCCCATGGAGGCTGTGCTCAGGGACCCTGGGTGAAACAGGGAGACAGAAAGCTCCACAAAGGAATGAAAGTCAGCCTGCTGGGTGTGAGAGTCCACGTCCCGGGTGCAGGCAACAGGGGCTGCGGCGAGCAGGAGATTGAGAGTCTTCTCCAGCAGGATAGAATGGCCTAGAGGAAAGACCACGGCTTCCCAGCCTGCAGGGCATAATCCAGTGGCTAAGCCAGTCTCTCCCTCTGTCACTCTGTAGCAAAACCCTCCAGCCAAGTGGTTTCTTCTAAATCACAGAAATTCCATTCCGCTCTTTTATGCTTCGCTCAAGTAGGAAAGGACAAACAGAAACACCAAAATAAAAGGCAGATGCCACCACAAATAAACAAGGAGAATATAGGAAACACTTCAAAACGTCCCTAACTGATAACCCCGGAGAGATGAGAGAAAGTTTTGTTAAGAAAGAGCACTACTGCGATGCTGAGAAACTAAGATATGGGAGAGTCTGGGGAACGGAAACTGGGATTTCTAAAATTAGAATTTTAATAGATAGACTAAAAGATAAGGTCCTGGGAAAGTGGGACACAGGAGACACAGCAGGAAGGTGTGGTGGTTACAAGCCAGAGTCCTGCTAGAGGAACCCCCCCGGAGAGAAAAGCACGTTGGAGAAGACCTAGGGGTAATCTAACCCCTAGAATGAGAAACTTCCCGCACCCCAGGAGTTGTATTTTTTCCTTCAAGGACCTGCCAAGTGGCCAGAACAATGAATAGAGACAGATTCTGCTGAGACTCATCACCCTGACATTTGGGGACACTGGAAAGAAAGCTTCCGGAAGGGGGGAAAAAAACCCATGCACTTAAAAAGAATTATAAATCAAAGTGTTATCAGGCTTCTGAGCAAAAACATTAAAACCTAGAGCACAGGAAATAACGCCGTCGAAATTCCCAAGGCACGGCAACTTCACCCAGAATACTTTACCTGGCCAAACTGTTGGTCACAGATGTATTTTGGAACCTAGACGTCCTCATCTTGATTCGTGTTTGTTTTATTTTGTTTTGTTTTTCCCCCAGGAAACTGCTAACAGCTTTTCCAAAAGAAGGGAGTACACCAAGGGAGGCAAGGGCGGGAGTTCCAGGCTGAGGGGGTTCCAGCCTGTGGGAGAGGGAGGACCCCCCTAGGCCATGCACAGGGCTGTCTCGGGCTGAGAGGGCCCAGCAAGAACGTTCTGGAGGGAGCCGAGGCGGTTTTCCGCACCTCTCTATGCTGTCTCGCCCATCGCTCCCTTTGCCTCCCAAGCAAGTGTATCATCTCTGAAACCGATGCCCTACACTAAGAGCATCTATGCTAAAGCAGGGGAGAAGCCAGACCCGGGTTACGTATATGAATAGTCCCTTCCCCACCCAACACCCCCCGTGGGGAGCACGGGGAGTCAGGGCTCGAGGGGGGGCAGGGGATAATGGGCAACTTTCATTTCATTTTCGTTACTTTGAAAGAACATTCCTTTTGCCATGAAAATAGTGAGGGGTATTTGGGCAGTGGGGAAACAAACAACAGAAGTTAAGCTTCACGGTCTGCCTCCCGCAGGGATGGAGAAGATAAACTTCTCAGGCGGGGAGCCATTTATCCATGACCGGGGCGAGTACCTGGGCAAGCTGGTGAGGTTCTGCAAAGAGGAGCTCGGGCTGCCCAGCGTGAGCATCGTGAGCAACGGGAGCCTGATCCGGGAGCGCTGGTTCCAGAACTATGGTGAGCCACCTGGCATCACGCCGTAGTTGGGGCTGCTATGACCGTTGGTCCCGGAGTCCTTCCATCCTGAGCCTGAGGCCAGGCTCATGGTGGGGAGAGGTGATGGGGGGGGCAGGGGGGAGACACTGAACTCCAATCCCTGTGCAAGCCATGCAGGCAGTCGGGAGGCTTTCATTCTGCGGGCTCTATACTTAGAGCCCTATAGGTGTTGACTAACGGGTGTGGCAGGACAGGTGACAGAAAGTATCAGTAAGCACAACCACCACGGTGTGCATCCCGGTTTAGAGGACGCTGAGGCCAAGGCGCTAGGGAGCGTTGACACAGCTCTGCAGCCGCTCCCTTATTGCGTGCTACTGACCTTTAATATTTCGATACGAAAGGAGCTATTGTTGTATTAGTCTCCTAAATGAAGCAATTGGACTAAAGCAGCCTCTCCCACCTTTGGCTACATATTTGGCAGCTGAAGAAATCTAAGCAAAAGATCTGCGTGGGGACGGAATCCCAGACTACTTCTATCAGAACCTCGTGGTGCGTGGACAGACAGATCTGGGAGGATGCAAGGGATTCGGCTCCGTGGCCAGGATGGCAATCCTAAGACCGTGGAGGTCCCTTATGGCCGAGTTTCCATAGATGTGATATCCCTAGGCCATACCTGGAATTTAGGGAGCAGTGGGAAATAAGAGCTGTTGTTACTACCGTCATTTCAGGAGACGATGATAACCTCTTAGAGCACAATTTTCTGTTCTCACTTTGTATGAGTTTTTTGAGCCTTGACATCACTGAAAGAGTGGTTGCATCTACTCCCTGTTGAGGCTGCTCACAGGGAGCCTCTCACCAAATACCCCTCCCGAGATGGAGAAGAAATGGGCATGGGGAGGGAAGACTGGATGTGGGTGGTGTAGCCCCTCCGACGAAGGTGAATCAGGGAAGATTCAAGACAACGTGTTAGAACCAAAACATCCAGGGCACCCAGATGGCTCAGTGGGTTGAGTGTCCAACTCTTGACTGCAGCCCAGGTCATAATCCTGGGTGGTGGGATTAACCCCTGCATCAGGCTCAGCACTCAGTGCAGAGTCTGCTTGAGATTCTCTCTCTCCTTCTGCTGTCTCTCTCTCTCTCTCTCTCTGTCCCTTTCTCTCAAATAAGTAAAATAAATTTTAAAAAAAGAATAAAAACGTCTGTGAAGGGAGTCACTTAGTGAAATAGGGTCAGGAGCTTCTATGGAAGTCTGGGGACCAGATTCAGAGGGGGAAGAAAAGTGTAGGGGACAATGTGAACAAGGGATAATGGTCAGGTGTTGAGGGGGTCCCTGAGCAATCCTCCTCCTCCAACACTGGCTCTGCATGCACACCACTGTGCTGTGAAGAGGAGGCCCCGCCGGGTCACCACATCCAGGGTCAGAAGCTCAAATGCTGGCATGGGGAAGGCCATGGGAATCAGTGAATTTGGAGGAGCATAAGAAAAACCCACTTCAGTCGTAGAGAGACAATAAGCAGGTGTGAGGCCATGAAGAATGGGAAGCACCCTGCCTGGTTCATAGTGGACATGCAGACAGCAGTTAGTCATGAGCTCCCATGGACATTTATCCTCTATGGGAGTGTAGGGTTAGGGCCTCCATAGTCTGAAATTCTTAAAGACACTTCAGAAATCTACATTCTATGTTAAATCTCCCCTTAAATATTTGCAAATAATTTGAAATGGGATTAGATGTCACACGGGAAAACCACAGCAACATTTACGTGTAACTGTATGGCCTGTCTGCCTCCAATTTCCCACCTCTGGTTTATAGGACCAGGGCTAAGTCTGTGTGTTGTGGGGACCAGAAGAGCCATTTTGGAGCAACCACCGTCTGTCTCTCTACGTTTGGCAGTTTTCTAAGAGCACTCGCGAGACTCAGGAGCAGACAAGGCTCATTGCTAAAGTCCATCTGAGCAAAGGATACCGTGCAGAAATAGCAGAAGAAAACGTGCATCCCTGGGTCCCGAGAGCTCAGACACAGGCTTCCGAGTCCTTCCCTTCCAGGACGTACAAGATCTGCTTCCTCTCTAGCGGTGACCTATGGGGACATGTCAGGAATGCTTTTGCCTAGGAATGCTCTTGTGAGCCTCAGGGTCTGAGGCTTTTCTGTGGGGCTGGTCACTTTGGCACATGCTGCAGCGTTCCCATCCACGGCAGCTGAAACTCAGGACTCCCAACAACAAAACCAGGTACATCGTGAGTGTTGTTCAATGACCCCAACAGCTCTTGATGAGTTGATATAACATGCCCCACTGCTCCGGGCATGGACACTTCATGAGTGGGAGACGCACAGAATGTTCTGGTGGCCTTACATGCAGCGATTGGCCAACACTCCCTCATAGGGCCAGGCAGGCTCTTCTGGAGACTTGGATGGACTGAGCCAACAGATAGGCTTCGCTCTCTCTCATCACAAGGGCTCCTACCAGAAAATCTGAGAGAAGGAGGAAGAGGTCTTGTGGTCACAGACCAGAAGCTGGAGAGTTAGCAGAGTAAAGCAACTGACACGGATTCTCAGCTGACGTGGACACCAACCAAGGCTTTACTATAACTGATAGGTGTTTATTTTAGCTTTGAACTTTGTTCTTGGTTGGGTTAGAGACCACGCACTCAGTTAGTTCTCTCAGGATGATAAACCATCAGGAATTTATTTAAGATCAATTTTTAGGGCATTTTGAGTTGTTTTAAATAATAGTCAGTTGCTTTCTCTGGGTCCAGTTTGTGCTCGATGCTTTGAGCCTGTAAATCAGGTAAAAGACAAGCGCTTGCCCTTGGAGAAACGAGAGACTAATTAGGATGATTAGTTTATTGTTAATCTGCTTAATAGATTGCAACTCACGGTTCAGAGTTCAGGACAACCCGTCACATCAGTCTTTCTCCAATTTGTGCTAAGAAGTGGAGGGCGTACACGTGGGTAACATCAGATTAGCCTCTATGTTGAACTTAAAATGTCTCTCTGATTAGGACAGCTGGTCATAGTTGCTTAAAGAGTCTCGGGACCCCTTACTTTCTATAATTGGAGGGGTTTGAAGAATCAACTTTGCAGGCAATTCTGCAAAGTCACCATAGCGAGGAAAACTCAGACTCCGTCCACGTTGAGGACATAGCCGGTGAAGGGGGTGGGTGGCTGAAAATGTCTGTGCTTGAGAGGCAGGCAGATGAGCCGAGGAAATGAAAGGGGTGAGAAGAAAGGCAGAGGAGAAATTGATGTCACAGAAGCATGCAGGGAGGGAGGAGCAGGGGGAGAGGGAGAAGCAGACTCCCCACTGAGCAGGGAGCATGATGCGGGGTTTGATCCCAGGACCTAGAGATCGTGACCTGAGCCGGAGGCAGAGGCTTCACTGACTGAGCCCCCCAGGTGCCCGTCCCTCTACAAACATTTAGATGGTGATGCTAGCATAGAAGAGAGGTCAAGAAGAAGCCAAAGAACCTGGCAAAAATATTAAAGTTTTTCTGCAGAGCAATTTTATTTATATGATGAGCAAAAGAGACTGCTAAACCTGTAAATGCTCATAGATCCAAAATACTTATTGCCTCAGAAATGACATAATTGTGATGCAGCAATTAACTAAGGACTCGTTTGGGATCCCAGGGTGGCTCAGTGGTTGAGCATCTGCCTTTCGCCCAGGGCATGATCCTGGAGTCCCCGGATCGAGTCCCACATTGGGCTCCCTGCAGGGAGCCTGCTTCTCCCCCTGCCTGTGTCTCTGCCTCTCTGTGTTCTCTCGTGAATAAATAAATAAAATCTTTTTAAAAAGGACTCATTTAAATATACCAATAAATGCTCTCACACACACACAGGTGCCATTTTAGAATGGTCAAATATGAGTTATCTCCATCACCTCATGCATGATGTGTATTTTTTTTCAAGATTATTTAAACAAGTGCCAAGTATAATTCACATTTCCATGGAGTGTTGTGGGTACAAGGAAAAGTCTTTTTAAACATTAAGAATGAGATACAGGTGGGGTAGCTGAGTGACGGGCACTGAGGAGGGCACGTGATGGGATGAGCACTCAGTGTTATACTATATGTTGGCAAATTGAATTTAAGTAAAAAAAAATGTAAAAAAAAAAACAAAAACAAAAACCTGACATACGAGCAAGATGTGTTTTATCACAAAGAGAAATAAACGGCCTAAAAGCTTTGGTCCTCGAATGGAAAAGCTTAAAGGTGTTCACTGTCCCTCAGGTGAATACCTGGACATCCTCGCCATCTCCTGTGACAGCTTTGATGAGCAGGTCAATGTCCTCATCGGCCGTGGGCAAGGAAAGAAAAACCATGTGGAAAACCTCCAGAAACTGAGGACGTGGTGTAGAGATTATCGAGTGGCCTTCAAAATCAACTCTGTCATCAATCGATTCAACGTGGACGAGGACATGAGGGAGCAGATTAAAGCCCTGAACCCCGTCCGCTGGAAGGTAAGTGCCGTGTCGCTTCTGCTGTGCGTAACTCAGAAAATGTTCCGGAGACACTTGTGACGCTGAAACCCCGGAGTGACCAAGCCAGCTGGGAAACCGGGGCCTTGGTCCTTCCTCCAGCTCTCTTAAGCTTCCAACTACTTACACTCCCTTCGTCTCAGTCTCCCCTTCTAGAAACTGGAACTGATTCCCTTCTGGAATACTCGGAGAATACAAGTGAAAAGATAGAGTTGGGGGCACCTGGCTGGCTCCGTCGGTGGAGCGTGAAAGGCTTGATCTCGGGGTTGTGGGTTCGAGTCCTGCATTACATGTGCAGATGACTTAAAAATAAAATCTTTAAAAAAAAAAGATACAGTCGGTGCTTGGAGGTGTTCTGAAGACTATGCCCATAGAAAGCCTAATTTGTATTTATCTATTAAATATAATAAGGCTGGATTTCTTCTTAAAGCTGTTGGCTTATTCATAAACGGCTATCTGGTCTCCATACGTTCTGTTAATACAGTTTTCATTGGATTATTAGAAGATATTGGGGCAACACTATTTTTAAGTTGCAGCAGAGTTTATTTGCCAAGATCAGTGCTTTAAGACCGACCTCTCTATCAGCTCCTTAAAAGTCTGAAGTTCAAACTCGAGATGTCTATATCTAGCACCCACAAGGTGCAGACACCTGCCAATAATGGTAAATTGAAGTGTCCTACCCCTGGCTGCTCTTTCGAATCAACTCAGGGAGCTGTTTATAAAGCAGCTGCACCCCCGGACCTGCACCCCCGCCCCAGAAGCACCGGAGGGAAGCTGACGATGGAGGGATGTGGGAGGAACGGAGGCTGTGGTCCAGGAGGGGGCCGGACGAGGGCTGGACACTGGGCTCCGGGCTCTTAGATCCTCCTTCTAGAACCACCTACCTGTCCCGCTCCTTTTCCCTGACACCCCATCTCTGTTCCACTTCTTTTGCTGTTACTGTCTTCCTCATTCTCTTTCCACCTTCTCTCTCTGTATCTACATATACATTTTTCTTCCTGGCTTTGGCTTGCTGGGAGCACCTCGTAGCTCCTTTATCTCAGAGCTTTCTTCTCCAATCTGACAACTGCGATTGCGGCTTCCACTTGCTGCTTCGCTCCAGAATTGCCGGTTCAAAATCCGGAGTTTTCTGGAGGGAGGCAGATTAGCGCCTGCCTGTTAGGAAAGCAGTTTTCGCGTCAGATCCCGGGTGTCTGCAAGCTGCAGAAGGATGAGAACCCGCACTCCTGAGCCAGGTGCCTGGTCCCCAGGGCTGCCTCCTCCGGGCTTGCAGGTCCCGTCAGCAGGACACCAGCATGAGCACGCGTGGCAGGGAAGGGACCTCGTGGTATTCGTGAGCAGGGAGCTCGGTGTCCCCCCTAGGCTCGCTCTAGTGAAGACAGAGCAGACCCCTCCTGACCTCCTCATCAATCCCACCACCCTCTCCGCCTCCAAGCCCATTTTGCTTCTCGAGCTCCATTCGAGCTGGTGGATTCTGGAACCACAGTCTCAAGGGAAAAAGCTCATGTGTGTCTTCACCCACCTGACATTCAAGGTTGGGCCTCTAGCCTGTGTGGAAATCTTCTCTGACCGCCCTGCCAGGCATCCCTCTTCACCCTGCACCTGGACTGGGGTTGGGTGCTGTGGGGACAATGATGAGGGTGTCCCCTCACAAGTGGCTGACAGCCACAAAGGCAAATGGTACAAGTACCACGTGACCAGGGTCTGCAGGGACAGGAGTTAAAGGGACTGGGAGTAAAAGGAAGGTGGAGAGGGAATAGAGTGAGCAAAGAAGGCACTGGTTAGGGAGTTTTAAAATTAATTCTAATTAAACACTATATATAATCCTCCCCTTGCATGAAAACCCTGCAGATCCAGGCTTGGTGCTGGATATGTGTTTGATCAGCTGCCACCTGGTCCCTTCAGGAGTGGGTCCCTGGGACAGAGTTTTTCCTTCTCGTATGATGGTATTCCTTATGGTGGGATAATACATTCACACACACAATTGTACTTAAGGGAATGTTGACAGACTATTAAAGGCTTTGGAAACTGTCCTTGTATATTAACTGAAAAATAAACCACATAGCCTAGAGGCCTTAGTAAGGGTTTAGTGAAGCCAGCAGAAGCAACATACTGAAAATATTCATTTCTTGGTTTGGGAATCACAAATGATTCATTTTCTTGATGCTTTTGTATTGTATCCATATTTCCTGCAATGCACACCTGGTATTCGGTGGTCTGAAGACATCGGATTATCAGACCAGATCAAACATACACCAGACTGGTTTTATATTTTCAGACAGTTTGCACTTCCTGACTTTGAGGGGTTCCAGAGCAACGTCTTTCTAGATGGTTCCTTAGTCAGGGGAGTCGTCTTTGATCAGAAGAAAGGAAGCTGGGTCTGGGGAAATGCGGTTTGGGGTAAAAACGATGGGAGGCTCTTTGCACAACAAACACCCTCCTTGTGTCCCAGGTCTTCCAATGTCTCCTGATTGAGGGGGAGAATTCTGGAGAGGATGCCCTGAGGGAAGCGCAGCGGTTTGTTATCAGTGATGAAGAATTTGAAGGATTCTTAGACCGCCACAAAGAGGTGTCCTGTTTGGTGCCTGAGTCTAACCAGAAGGTTGTATAAAGCAAACATTGCCTTGTTCATCATGACACCTTGAGATTGAGTCCAAGCGGGGAGGTCTCTAGCCCAGAGGGGTCCACACGTTGTTCCCTTAGAGGGTTGGGCGAGCAGGATGGGAGGGGTGCTAAAGGAGCTTCAGCTCCTTGGACCAGGCGTCCGCCCACTGTTCCCACAGCGGGAGCAATTCCAAGGACTCAGCCTTGAGCCACTATAGCTTCCTATAGAGGGTCCACCTTCCATATACCTGTAGAAGGTACAACTGGTTACAGGTAATGAGAGTCACATTAAGATCTTCAGGTGAGCTCTCAGCTAATAGCATGAAAGCATTATGCATTGACAGAGGGGGACATTCAGTGTATGGTAGGATCATCCATTGGGAAGATTAAATAAGGAACAGGGCTCTCCCATAGCTTGAAGAAATGGGGAGATTTCATTGTCAGAGACGCTCTGAGCACCATGAGACCCTCCCAGCGTGGGGCAGAGAGCCAGCCTGCTGGCATCTGTGGGAATCCAAGTGGACACGGACAGATGCCCCTGGAGACGTATGTTAGGTGGGGATGGGGGCACCGACCCAGGGACCGCCCCGTAGGGGACATACCCAAAGACACTCAGGCGATAGAAGAAGTGTAGACTCCAGAAGGAATAAAGCACACACATTCAAACACCCCAAGATCGTTGAACCCACGTACTGAAAAATACACTTGAAACTAAATTTGTGTGTCATTTCTCTTTTGCAGATGAGAGATTCTTACCTTATTCTGGATGAGTATGTAAGTACTTGCAATGAATTATACAATTTAATTTTTTTTCAAAGATTTTATTTATTCATTCACGAGAGACACACACAGAGAGAGAGAGAGAGGCAGAGATACAGGCAGAGGGAGAAGCAGGCTCCATGCAGGGAGCCCGACAACATGGGACTCGATCCCAGGATCCCAAGATCACTCTCTGGGTCGAAGGGAGGCGCTCAGCTGCTGAGCCACCCAGGCATCCCCAATTTAAATTTTTTTAAATAAAAAGAATCTTAAATATTTTTAAAAATTAATTTAATTAAAAATTCAGTAATCTTTAATTAAAATTAATTAGAGCTCAACAATCCCAGTGTTGAGCTCTACTGAGCATAACCGGTCCCGGGTTATCTTTGGAGCCAGAGTTTCCTACTTCTGTTGTCACAGATTAGCATCACTATTATAGAGCCCTTATCTCACTGGGTCGGGTCTGAGCTAGCCGTGTAGACAGGACTTCGCATGACCCAGGCTCCTGTATCCGCACCAACCCCAGGCCATGGAGCCGTGGAGGTCACCCTGAAGCTGACATTGCAGAGACCTCTGTCGCGCGGTCGTGGGCTGGAAGTTCTCCGGCAACGGGAACTGGGGGTGCCTTGGAGGACTTCACATCACCTTCACACTTCACATTACCTTCAACACCTCTGATACCGCCAGCCTGTCCCCTGACTGATAAATCTTGGCTCTGCTGAGAAGCGGCTACAGCTCTTCTCCCAAAGCTATGGATATTGTTGCTACCACTCTGCCTTACAAAGAAAAAAGAAAATCCATCCTTCACAAATTTGAAAAACAACTTAATTTTTCCCCTTCCTTTGTCTTTTTTTTTTGAGGGGGGTACTTCGATTCGTAAGCCTTTGCCAATAGTTCTAGTACAGGACAAACAAGTCCATTCAAAGACCTGTTCCCAAGAAATGAGCTCCAGGGGCACCCAGGTGGCACATTCAGTGAAGAGTCGGCCTTGGGCTCAGGTCGTGATGCCGGGGTCCTGGGATCGAGTCCCATGTGGGCCTCCCTGCTCAGGAGGGGAGTCTGTTTCTCCCTCCACCTCTGCCTCTCCCCCTGCTCGTGCCTGCTGTCTATCTCTCTCTCAAATAAAAATATGAGAGAAAGAAGAAAAGAAAGAAAGAGAGAGAGAGAGAGAGAGAGAGAAAGAAAGAAGAAAGAAATAAAGAAAGAAAGAAAGAAAGAAAGAAAGAGAAAGAAAAAGAAATTCCAACAAGAACAATGACTTTAATGTATACATGGAATTTGGTGTTTGAGAAATATTTATTTGACTTTTGGTATTTTACTATTTTAAAATCAATCAATGATGCTTCATAACCATTTTGGTGTTGGTCACTATGAGCTTTCTTTATGGGGCATAAGGGGGAAGGCAAGGACTCTAGTGTTCAGTGCATTGGTTCGAGGTAGAGAGGAAAAGTCAAACAGAATTTATCTTTGTCTGTTTTTATTTTTATTTTATTTTTAGAGACAGAGAATGTGCAAGGAGGGGGGCTGAGGTGGAGGGGCAGAGGGAGAGGGAGAGAGAGAATCTCAAGCAGGCTTCACGCTGACCTTGGAGCCGCAAGATAGGGCTTAATCCCACGACCCTGAGACCGTAACCTGAACCCAAACCAAGAGTTGGGCGCTTAACTGACTGAGCCCCCCGGGCGGTCCAGTTTTTATTTCTGGAGTGTCATGACTGGCTGGGGATTTTGACCAATGCTGCCGTGCTCCTCAACAGACTCTCTGGTCTCCACAAAACTGCCAGAAACAGTGGAACCGACATTTGCTTTTGGTAATTGAAGAACATTTTGGTCCCACAAGTATTACTACAGATGCTCAGTGACACGGTGGGGCAGAAGTGTGAAGACCTGATTCCTGCCTGCAAGGCCTTCAAGTTAGGAGAAAAACTGGGACCCTTAATAGGGTGTATAAGACTCTTCTTGGCCTGGCGCCTGCCTGCCTTGTACTTCCTTTCTTATCCCTCCCTCTCCCTTTCTTGAAAGAAGTTTTTGTTAACTTCACACCTATGTATTCATGCACGAGCAGTTTTCACTCCAGCAATATCATCTCCCTGCAATTTCCCAGATACACCATCCTGTTTCATGGGTCTGTGCTTATATAACACTGGTCTCTCCAGCTTATAGTTTCCTAAACATTACTCACCGCCCCCCCCCATGGAGGAACATGCACCTGCTGTGGCTTGCGTATAATTCAGTTTATTATGCATTACATTGATCGAATGTGTTCATGTTAAAGTGGGCAACTTGGATAGAGGAAGGGTGTTCAAGGAGGTCGGCATCCTCAGAATAGCATCTGGCCCACGGCCTTCAATAAATATTTGTTGAAATGAGTGCAATATCAAAAACCACTCTGGATTAATCCCCAGAATTGAGTTTCATGGAATAAATTATACTAAAGTATCCCCTTTCTGTCATGGATTTCCTAGATGCGCTTCCTGAACTGTCAGAATGGGCGGAAGGATCCTTCCAAGTCTATCCTGGATGTTGGAGTAGAGGAAGCTATAAAATTCAGTGGATTTGATGAAAAGATGTTTCTAAAGCGAGGAGGAAAATATGTATGGAGCAAGGCAGATCTGAAACTGGACTGGTAGAGGGAAGATGGAGCAAGCCTTCAACCCACCTGTGGGGAACTTACTCAGACTCAGGGTGTGGCAACTTCCATCGGCGGGGCTTCCTGTTGGCATTTTGCAAGGGCCCCAGATCTGATTTCCTGTTGCACGTGATGTCTGATTGTCTGTGGCCACTGAACACACAAATCACTGGGATAATTGAAATCCGTCGATAATGCAAAACCAGTAACTTTAGTTAATTAGCCTATTTAGGATTTATTTTTTTTAGCAAGTGTTTTCTGTGACTCCTGTGCTCCTAGTTTTGATGTTATTTTTCCAGTCCTTTCATTTGCTAGAGTCGGGTTTTTTTTTTCCTACTAAATAGTGAGATGCCAATTTTCACACCTAGAGCAATTACAAAATCCCTGCCCCTCCCTCAATTATTCTGCTTGTTGCCACGCTCTTTCCCTTCTGCCTTTAAGCCACTGAAGTCTTGGACTCTTTACCCAGAAGGTTGGAAACAGTCAACAGATATTTCACAGGGTAGGAAATGATCATCTCATCGGTGCTCAGTAAGCACCTCGAAGAACAGCGTCCCCGTGCCGGTGCTCTGCACAGCCCCTGGGCCCCGCTGGCTGTTCTGTGGGTGTTAATTATCTCTGCGGCTCTGTTTTCTCTTCCGAGTCTCAGCAAAACCAGCAAACTCCATACCTTTCATGACAAAGTTGACCCGGGGTCAGGGTTCCTGTTGCTGCAGGAATCCGTCATCCAAGCCACCTGAGTCGGCCTCGCCACGGCGTATGCGTTCATTTGGATGGACAGTTGTCCCCACATCTCTGATAAATGACACCTTACTGGATGGGCCTGATCTGTTAGGAAACAGCCCTGGACTGGTATGTAAGGAAAGAATGTGAGGAAGCATCTAGAATGTGCCTGGATTTTACATCAACAAACCAGTGGCACAATATCATATATCTCAACTAACTTTGAATCACTTGAAATAAGGATATACTCTGGGTCAGTAGGAGAAGATCCTGTTCCCTCCTTTACCAGCTTCTTTGGAAAAATGTCACCTGAAGTGGGTCAGGGAACAGAAGCCTGCCCTAGTGGAAATATCACATGCACTTTGTTTATTTAATTTAGATAGTATCTCATTGCCTGGAAAACAATAATTTCTTTTTTTTTTTAATAATTTCTTATCATTGTTTCAGAAATAGGAAATCATGGGGATCCACCCCCACCTCCCTCGGAGGCAAAGGCACATTTTCATCCAGCTGCCATGCTGGGGTTGGTCACTAGGTGGCATTAAATGCTGCCTGAGTCCCTGATGCAAACACCCAGCAATTCCACTACTTAACCTAGTTTACAGACTTGGTGATTTTGAAAGTTTGGTTTTTGTGATTTTTTTTTCTCAGAAAAGATATTTCTACTTCAAGTTTTAAGTGACTGCAATTCAACTGAAATATGGTTGTGTCTCATCTAAAACAGGGTCAAATAAATGGGTAAAATAAATATATGAATACAATTTAAAATTAATTAGTTAATTAAAAAAAACAGGATAGGCTGTCATACACTTTCCATTTTATTTTGTTGTATATCTTAAGAGAACAACGAATTAGAAAGTTTTTTTTTCCCTGTATGGGTTTTGACCGTAGTTAAGCTATGATGCCCTTAATATAATCAGTATAAATATATTTTTTTAATGTAACATGAGCGTACTATGCAGGTCTTGACCCTATTCAACAAGATCAAGTTCATCAAAGAAAGATCAGGTATGTGGAAGCATCAAAGATGTTGTCTGGTGGATAGCAGGGGCTCAATCATTATTTGAGACAGAATCTAAATTGGGAACCCACATCCTCTGAGTTGGAATGAATTTCTCTCAAATCCGCTCAAATTAAAAAAAATGTGGAAAATTGTGTTACTCTTTCCCCAAAGGGAAATCTAAAACAAAACAAAACCAAACTGCCCCTGAGAAATAGGCATTTTAAATATATTTTTCCAACTGGTTTTTACATCAACGCTCCCCATCCTTACGCACTATCGGGATTTGCAATGTTTAAAATATCTAAATGTTTCCTTTTCTTAAGGGGGAGAAATAAGGACACTTATTATTTGTCATTAGAGTAAAATTCAAATTTGGATCATATAACGTTTTGCTTTATTTTTTTTTTGGTCTTAAATAGGAATTTCAGTTTTATGATATATTTTCCTCTTTATTGAGAAAACAACTGGAGTACATTTACCATGATGAGCTCTGGGTAATGTAGAGAAGTGTTGGATCACCTTATTGTACGTCTGAAATTAATACAACGCTATATGTCAGCTAACTGGAATTTTTTGGGAAAAAAATGAATGAAAAAGAAAGGAAAAATCAAATGGTAGTTTATCTGAGGCATCTCAATGTGTTGAGGGCAAAGGTTTTGTGGTGCTTTTAGGTGTCGCTAACGTTTACATTGTAATGATATGAAGAGAATTTTGCCTTAAGAAATCTGGGAAGACCGGACATTAGGAATAGCATATTGGTTTTACAAGTACGAGTCACCTTTGTCATTTAGTGATAAATGACCTGAAAGTTCCCTATTTTCTTTTAAGTTTGAAGATGGCTGAGACCACCCAGATCCATCATCTGAAATGCAGGCTCCTGTTCCATCTCAACTGGAATTTGGAGGCTAGTGGTTGGGTTGGTCCAAAGAACCATGATGCTAAAACGAGCCACCAGTCTCCATGAGGCTGTATCAGGCAATGATTCATCTTGTTGGCTAACCTCTTATTTTTTTTTTTAACCTCTTGTTAAAGACTGTTTAACCAGTTGTACTTAGGGGGAGATTCATTGTGCTGTAAGATTTTGAGCCTTTGTCTTGAGTATATATATGTCTTAATTTTTAAGAAAAGTATATATTTTTTTCTTCATATGTGATGCTTTCTGAGGATTTATCTCATGTGTTGTAAGATGTTGCAATAAAAACGATTTTTGTACAATGCCTTCTCTCTCAGTGGGTCCATGTAACGAAGCGTCTCCTGGCTGTGCGTTTAAACTCATTGGGTGTTTTTACAAACTTTGCCGTTGCTAAAGGCGAGGAACAATTTTAAAATCAACAAAGTTATCAATAATTAATAAGCACATCACAGGCAACCCAATCAGCAACAAGATGGAGTGGAGATGAGTCATTCTGTATTCTAAAATGAGAATGGGCATCCTGGGAACCAGGTGTCCAAAACCTGACCATGTGGGGGTGGGGGAGGGGGGTAGCACCAGCCTCCAGCCCACTGGTCCCAGCTCCGTGCTCTGAGTGTGAGCTGGTCAGCTGCCCCCGGGGCAGGCAAGCGCCTTGCCCTGGAGTCCCAGGAGGTGCAGAGCTCACCCCTCGCACCCCGGTTCCTAGCTGTCCGGTCAGTTCCTGGGCCCTTCCTTACCCACATCCACTGGTCCAGCATGGGCTCCACCGCATGGAAGCAGCAAGCACCTCCCCTGTCAGTCAGCACTCCCCTCCCATCCCTCCCATAACTGATTGACTTTTTTCATTTGGAGCATCTCAACCTGTCGCTGTCTGATTCTGCTCTCAATTCCAGGCTCTTAGGGCCAAGCACTCGGTATGGCTGGCCCCAGTGTCCACCTCCTGCCCTCCAGACTGGACTGGTCCTCCTTTGGCCACACAGCATTCTCTCAGATGGGCCCATGCACCTGAGCTCTGGTTAGGGCACTCACCTCTTCAGGACCCATGTGGCCTCACTGCCTTCATCCTCCTGCATGCTCACCAACACCGGGCTCCAGCCCCAGAGAACCAGGGTCAGATCCAGGACCTTGAGTCTTGAGGGGGCAGCTTGAGTCCTTTGATCATTGTGTCTGGGTCACATTTGAAGCTCATGACTCCACATCAAGTTCCTGCCCTACCCAGTCAGGGGGAACCCGCACAGCAAGTCTAACCCGGATGCTATTGAGATGGACTTGAAAAATTAGAAGAGACATTAACATTTTTTTCATGATTCTAAAAATAATACATATCTAGAGTATATTTGAAAAACAGAGGAGAGCAAAATGAAGAAAATAAAAATTATCCATAATTGTATCACTGGGAGGTAACTGCTAATTTATTTCACGTCTTTCCCGTCAGGGATATTTTTTAATAGAATTGAGTTCATTCTCAATTTTGTTTCCCACATAAAATCTTCTGAAGGTTTTTCAAGCCAATTAGTATTCTTATGCTTTAATGAGAACAGCCAGTTCCTCACAATTCACACTAATGTCCTTCTAAAAACCGCAGTTGGTTTGAAAAAAAAAAATCACTGGTTTTGGTTTTTGAGTTGCTTAGATATTTAAGAATGTGACTGTATCAAATGTTCTGAGAATTCACTTTATTCAGAAAAGAAATAATCAATAATAATAAAGCTTCTCTGTGCGAGTTAATTCCTGGAGGATCTGGGAAACAGCCCAAAAGTGATTTATGTTTTCATTCAGAGCCGCCTTGACTTGGCCCTGTCTGATTCTGCTCCCAGTTCGATATGCGAGGTTTCTCCTTACCACCCAGCAATTCTCCAACACCGGTGGGTGCCCCACAGTTCAACTCCACTCTGAGGAATCTGCCTGGAGATGGTGGTGGGTGCGCAGGGTGAGGGTTCAGCCCCACAGGATGCGCCCCCCACACCCCTGCCCAGAGGCCAGTCCTAAGCCCAGGGCATCTCCAGTGCTTCTGAACGAGGAGCTATAGATCAGAAGTTCCCACAACCCCCTCCTCGGGTTCAATCAATTCTCTAGAGCGGCTCACCGAACTCAGAGAGACATTTTACTTTCTAGATCACTGGTTTATTATAAAAGGGTAGAAGTCAGGAGCAGCCAGGAGGAAGACATGCGTAGGGCCAGGTATGGGGAAAGGGTGAGGAGCTCCCATGCCGTCTCCAGGGGCGCCGATCTCCCCAAATCTCTATGTCTTCCCCAAACTGGAAGCTTTCGGAACCCCATCCTTTTGGGTTTGTATGGAGGACTCATTACAGAGGCCTGATTACACCACTGGCCATTGGCCATTGGCGAGTGAAAATCTCCAGCGGCCTGGGGGTAGAAATGAAAGTTGCAAGCTTCAAATCACAGGGTTTTCTCCCCGACAACCAGCCTGCATCCCGAGGGCTTTTCCCAAAGTCAACTGATTAACATAACAAAACACACGTTGATTGCTCTCACCACTTAGGAAATTCCAAGGGTTTTAGGAGTTCTGGGCCTGGAAGGGGAACAAAGACCAATATTTATCCCTTATTATAAATCACAGGATCACACCCTGAGACCCCCTTAGCTCCTTGACTCAATAGACTGACCTCCATCAGTTCTCTCTGGAGCTTGGGTGGTAATCACCTTTCTGAGGCTGCTTTCCCCGCAAGCAAGTAATTACTGAGGAGTCGGAACACCAGAGCGGGTGTGAAGTTGGAGCCCTGTCTTTTCAGGAGGGCTACCTCATTGCTCCTTGCATCCTAAGTCAGGGAAGTCAGCTTTTCCAGGAAGCCCAACAGACGGCAAGCATTCAAGTGTTGTCTGAATCAAACCCACCTGACTCAGCTCAGGCCACCGTGATAAAGTGCCGCAGATGGGACACCCGATGGCTCCGTGGTTGAGCATCTGCCTTCAGCTCACGTCATGATCCCTGGGTCCCGGGATCCAGTCCTGCATCGGGCTCCCCGCGGGGAGTCTGCTTCGCCCTCTGCCTGTGTCTCTGCCTCTTTGTATTTCATGGATAAATAAAATCTTTAAAAATAAATAAATAGGGACGCCCGGGTGGCTCAGTGGTTGAGCATCTGCCTTCGGCTCAGGGCGTCATCCCAGGGCCTCAGGATCGAGTCCCACATCGGGCTCCCTGCATGGAGCCTGCTTCTCTCTCTGCCTGTGTCTCTGCCTCTCTCTCTGTGTTTCCCATGAATAAATAAATAAAAATATTTAAAAAAATAAATAAATAAAAATACAATAAAATACCATAGATAGGGATCTTAAAACACAGACCTGTGAGTCTCACAGTTCTGGAGGTGGGAAATCCAAGATCAAGGGGATGGCAGATATGGTTGCAGGTGTTAAAAAAAGAAAAGAAAAAAGAAAAGAAACATCAAGCCCTAAATGGAGTCATTTGGCCCCCAGCACAGCAAAGGCGATTCAGTGATAGTTTCCGCCTCTCCCAGGAGCATGACCTTTAGAAAGTCCTTCTGGTGGGATGAGCACTTGGTGTTATACTATATGTTGGCAAATTGAACTTAACTAAAAACAAATGTAAAAAATTAAAAAAATTAAAAGTTTTAAAAATTTTAAAATTAAAATAAAATAAAAATTTAAAAAAAAAAAGAAAAGAAAAAAGGAAGTCCTTCTGAAACATCCCGATCAGCTCTGGTGAGGCCACCTGCAGGACAAACCCCGCTGTTCTTGCCTCCCCAGGAGGAAAGCCGACATCCTGGCCCGAGAGACAAGCCTTTCTTTCCCTCTGTGGATGGCTTCTCACCACACCCCCCACCTGCAAACACCTTCCAAGGTGTGCAGCTGCTGGGGCGGCCTTCCACCTGCCTGATTCAGGAATCACTTAATAAAACCAATTTGATCTTCAAATTTACTCTGTCCAACCTCGTTTTTCAGCCCGGGTGATGATTCCCACCGGCCTGTCCTCATGGCAGAGACGGCTGTTCTGCAGCGTGGGGCTCCGCACAGCGCACACCCCTGTCAGACCCCAGGGGACGGAGAGAGGTGCTCCCTCCTCCTTCCCAACTGCCTGAGACCCAGACTCCACCCCTGTCTTCGGGTTTTGTTTGTTTTAATCTGTGGAGGCTTCTCTTGGTGGTTGGATATCACGAACGTGCATCTTCTTTTGGGGAAGTGGGATATGTCCTCGCCCCGTGGTGGTCATGGTCCAGTGATGAGGGAGCAGAAGGCAGAAGCACAAGCTGACCCCCACCCCCAGCTTCCAGGAGAGGGATGTGTGACATTCCTCAGGCCTCCCAGCTGCCCTAAAACTAAGGGAAGGAAAAACAAAGGGTCAACTGATAGAGATCACAGCCCCGCAGGCCTGGAGGCTCCCTCAGTTTACCAATGTCTCAGTGATTTACGAGGAAAAAACAGTCTTATCAAAAGCCTAATATTCGGAGACCCACAGCTCTGTCTCCTGGAGCCCTAACATCACCCTCTCTGCCATAGGGAAGTGGGAAATAGAGGCAGAAGGGAATGTAAATGAAATCAAAGTCCTTTATGACCTGCAGCCCATTGACAATGACCTGTGACAGGAAGAGAGTAACATGCCTCCAGGAAGCTTCCTGCTGTCTTAATGTTAATGCCTTACTAGAAGGAAAAACTACATTTAAAAAAATTCTATTTATTTATTCATGAAAAACACACAGAGAGAGGCAGAGAGAGAAGCAGGCTCAATGCAGGGAGCCTGATGCAGGACTCGATCCCAGGACCCTGGGATCACCACCTGAACCGAAGACAGACGCTCAACCGCCAAGCTACCCAGACCTCCTGGGAAAACTACTTTAACTTGGCAGTAGCCAGGGCCCCGGCATCCTAGGAGTCTTTAGCAGATGAAAGTCCTTTTGGACACCTCTCATTTCCCTTAGCTCCCCCAGCTCCCAAGTGTATAATCAGCCACTCCTCACAACCCCGGACAGCCGCTCTTCCTGCCCACAGATCCTGTCCCCCGGGGCTTTAATAAAATGACCTTTTGCACAAAAGACATCTCAAGAATTCTCCGGACCTCACCAACATCCCAAATGTACATCACTGGGATGAGAATAAGTTCTCAGAAACACAGCCCAGTGGGGCCAACATTCATGCCCAGACATGAGAGGGGAGGGCAGGGAAGAGGATAAATCTTTAGATGCACATCAAATGGGCAAGGAAAGAAGCTGCATGCTTTTTTTTTAATATTTTATTTACTTGGAACGCCCAGGTGGCTCAGCGGTTGAGCTTTTGCCTTTAGCTCAGGGCATGGATTCT